TACTCTTGGAATATATCAAGATGTCATCGATGAACATAATAATGAAGCTATTCAAGGGCTCATGAAATACCCTATTCATCAAGTCTATGACAATTTCGAGGCATTAGTCAATCCAAACGGTATCACAAAAACTCGGTGTCCATATCCGGTACTAAATGTTGTCTTCTTTACATCCTCCTCATTGATTCTCAACTAATAATACCCCGATCGTAAATTAATCTTAGAGAAATCGAAGCCCTTTTAACCGGTCAAACAAATCATTGATATATGGAAATGGATACTTATTCTTGATAGTACCCCAATTCAAACCTCTAAGTCCCATCTTTATTCTTCACAAACAATACTAGTCCTCCCCAAGGTGAACAACTAGGAACAATAAATCTCTTATCCAATAACTCTTACAACTATACCTTCAATTCCTTTAATTCCGTAGGTTTCATTCTATAAAAAGCCTTAGAAATAGGAGCAGTTCTAGGCTCAAGCTCAATCTCAAACTCTACTTCTCTCTCGCGATGGCAAACCTAGTAAACTTTTTGGAAAAACATCAAGAAAATCCTTCACCTCTTCAATATCCTTGGCTTCTACTTTAGGCTCTTACTTAGTATCTTTAACATTTACTAAGTATCCGATACAACCACCTTTCATCATCTTTCATGCTTTCATTGCTATAATAGTAGAAATCATATTTATTTTACTATCGACTTGAAATTCAAATGATTATTCATTAGGTGGTTGAAAAGTCACATTTCTTTCAAGATAATCAATTGTAGCACTAAATTTTGACAAATACTCCATCCCTAATATCACATCAAAATTTTGTATGCTCAACACTATCAAATCAATCCTCAAAGCCTTGTCACCAATTGATAAATTATAATTCTTTATCATATAATTCGATTCCATTACCTCTCTCGAAGGAAGAGTCACCTCATATACATATATAAGCAATTCGAGTTTAATCCCCAACCTTCTCAATAAAGATTTAGATATGAAAGAATGAGTTGCACTATAATCAACCAATATATAGGCAACAAGTCCAAGGATAAGTATATTATCGCATATAACTACCGCATTCTCTTCATTAGCTTGCTCTCGAGTCATGGTATAAACCTTTCTAGCTACTCTCCGAGCGGACCCTTGTCTCTTTGGGCACTTTATCGTAAGATGACCCTTGTTTCTTTGGTAACTTTCGCTGCAAGATGACCTTTCTCCTTTCACCAAAAACAAGTATTAGTAGCCTCCAAGCGTTCTCCAAAATGCCTTTTTCCATACTTGGGACGAGTGGTCTCTCTTGGGTCCCCACTAATATGGTTTCCTCCGAGAATTTGGCCTTCTTTGCCCTATTTGATTCGAGTCTTGAAAACTCGGTTTCTCACCCCTCCTTGCCCTATAAACTCGGGTGCATAATTTATCTTAATTATCGATCTTTTAGCTTGTAAGTCTTTAATAATTTCCTTCTAGTATTCCTCAACCATCATTGCCTTTCCCACCATATCACTATAAGTTACAACTAAAGACATCCTCACCATACTCGTTGAACCTAGGGTTGATTCCCCTTAGAAAATGCTCTTTCTTCAATTCCGTATCACCAAAAATAAAAGAAATAAACCGACACCCTTGCTCAAACTGCTCGATATACTAGGCCACCGATAATCCAACTTGTTTCAACTCCATAAATTCTTATACTTTCTTAGACCTCACATTATTAGTAAAGTATCTACCATAAAAGATCTCTATGAAGTGCGTCCATGTAAGGTTGGGTATATCTAGAGGTGCTTTTGTTTCATCCCACTAGGTTCTAGCATCTTGTACCATCATAAACATAACACAAGATACCCCGTCCGCATCATATAAACTCAAATGCTCAAAGATAACCTCTAAAGATTTCAGCCACTCCTTAGCTATCAAATGATCTATTCCACCACTAAACTCTTTCGCATTCATTTTCCCGAATCGCTCGACAACATCCACTCTTTGTTATGGAGCTTTACGTGGTTCTGTCTGCTCGTATAGCCAACATAGCCCTCATTTATTCATCATGTCTTTCTTGTTGTTGTTACACCATCACTTGTTGTTATTGTAGCAATTCCATCATCCGTTGCATTGTCGGCCCATTATTATTATCATCCCTCTCATTACTAGCTTGATTTCCTAGTCCACTCACATTTACATACCTCCTTGGTGGCATTCGACCTTGTACTATAATCACAACTCGGCCATTTATGAATCTCATGTGCACATAATCAAACATCATTGATTTATGATATGAGTACTTTTAATGTGTCTTTAAGTATACTAACCGCATAATGCATGATCATGTAGCATTGCACGATTGCAACGAAGTAGTTAGAATTGGTGAATACACGATTGTGCAAGCATTGTACGGTCGCGACAAAAGCAAGTTGGAATTGGTAATTACATGATAATGCACGATCGCTACGTAAGCGATTGGAATTGGTGAATGCATGATTTAAGCAACCATAACATTATAGCAAGACAACCAAAAATCATTTCTTTAGGAAATTAAAAGAATATAAAAGACCATAGGAATAAGAGGAGATTAACCAAATATTCATATAACATAAATTAAACAAGAATAATTAAATTAACCAAATAAGATACTTGACATATTATAAAGTACATAAGATTAACTAATTTTAAACAATATTAACACTTACATGTTGATGATGCTTTTTGGCCTTGAACTCTTGTGAACTATCTAAGCCTATAGAACCGACTAAACCATAGAATCCGATACCAACTCTATAGCACCCCATGTTCGGACCCATTCATGATGGCATCCCAAACGAGAGAGACACTACGATCAAACATAACCTACATATAATACAACTCAAACAAAACCAAATATAACTCATTTTCATGTCCTAAAAGGAACTTGATCCAACAAACATACATGACTTGCAATGCAAAAGGCACCCGACCATGTTGCTTCAAAACATAAACCGTATAAGTGTTTGAACTAAACATGGAACAACACTTTATCAACTAATAAAAGGGAAAAGGTTAAGATATACAAAAGGCCGTTAAAGCCACTTATGTCTCACATTCAAACTAGATAAAAGGACACGTCATAAGAGTTCGTTCAAAATGCTCGGTTGCATCTTCAACATCCATGGACTCCTCACCTACACCACAAGGCATAACAAAATGAGCTAACGCTCAATAAGCATGGTCATGCATAACAAAATGAGCTAACGCTCAATAAGCATGGTCATGCATAACATTTTGTAAACTTTCATGATGCATGTAAATACATTTTTTCTTGATGTGGGTACCCCACTAGACGTCATGTCTAGTCCTCTTTGTCTTTACCAAAACTATGCCTTTATCAAAACCTTTGCCTTGACCAAAACCTTTACCTTTCATGCATATATGATTTTAATGCATTTTCTAAAATATGTAAATCTATGCTCATGACATAAATGCATAGAGTACTATACTTTAAGGCTCAATTAATCACACCACACATTATCACATAACACATAACAATTAATTAAATAGTTACTTACCACATTCAATCACATATTACACATCACATATATGGTCATTGTGGTGAGTTGAACCATGCTTAACTTGATTCCTTAGCACTTCAACGAGTATTCTCCTTAAGCTAATCAATTCCTATAATTAAAATAAACCACAATATAACCTCTAATTAAATCAATAATTCATCAAAATTCTCATATTCCACAACAGATCCCAAAGTTCATACATCACAAGTCATCATCTTTCAACCTTTTCAATAACCAATGTTCACAAAACCCCAATTTCGAGCATAACATCACATAGTTTCCCAATCAATGAAATCTAACTATTTAAATCTCAATTTGTCTTAATAAAACACAAGCCCAAAGCAAAACAATCATCGAGTTAATCAATTAAAACCACTTAATCAGCTTTTTTTCAAAATTGGGTATCAACCCTAACTTCTTCAATCTCCTTTCAAAAGACTCATCAATATCACTTCAAAAGACAAACCCATCACAAACTAACATCAAATCACCATATAGCATCCAAAAATAACTAGAAATTTTGTCAAGAACATACCTTTGTCTCTAGAACAACAACTCTTCAAGCTCTAATTTTGCTTAAAACCCACTTTGATCATCATAACTATCTTACTACAAGGTTATTTAATGATGAGAAAGGTTAGAAAACAAGTGAGGCTTGGTTGGGTTAAGGAGAAGAAGAAAAAGGGGGAAGAGAAAAAGTGGGAAAAGAAAGAAAAATAATGGAACCCGTTGGTTCCAATAAAGGCATAAAGATGGGATGTTAAAATTACAACATGGTCCCTATAATTATATCTAACTTTTAAAGTAGTCTCTCAACTTTCATTAAAACTCATCCATATCATTAAATCTATTCAATTAGCTCAAAAACACCTTATTTTCCTTCAATCTCTAAGACATATATAATCCAAAATACCACAACTAAAGGATAAACAATTTAAAAGATGTCATTTATATGCAAAATATATATAAAAACATCAAACACAAGCATGCACATGCATAATATGGAAAATTTATTTTGGTTGTTATATTTTCTTATCACTTTTAGTAAGTCGGGACGTAATTTTCTATACTTTTTATGTGTCTATCTCTTTCCTCAAAATAATTTCATAGAGTAACTATCGTACATATCACTAATTATTCCTTTAAGTATTATAAAATTTCTCGAACCAAAAGTAGAAAAACCTTCGTAATCATTAATGTATTTTATTTTATTTATTTAAAGATAAAGATATCATCAACTATACATTTTAATTACATTTAAAATCATCTAAATCAATAAATTACAAAAGCAAATTAACATATAAGGTTAAAAATGGATCAATCACGTCCAAATTCAACTAACAATGTCAACAAGGTGAAGACAATGTTATAATGTTGCAAGCTGTTTTTTATTTTATTTTTTAACATCCATAGAAAAGAAAATTCAACATGTTCCTGCAGTGGAAATTATCAGGCAACAGCATGGTCTCATATATTTCCCACTTTGAAACGAGAAAGGGTCGAGGGAGTTGGTCCTAATACATAGTATTCCTCCCGAAGTTCAGCACTATAAGTTTCCCTATAGATGGGTGGGCTTTCAAGTTGAAGTTCCTTTATTACCCCATATGGCTCATATTTTTTTGCTGAACTTGGATAGAGAAAGCAAGCAACTGATATCCGGGGTCCGACTTCTGCAGACAAAACTCTGTGCTGCAGACTTTTGAACTTGTCATTGGTGATAAGCTGGAGAACAAAATTAGGTCATCAGAGTCACACTATAAAATGGCTATAAATAGAAAACCTGCAGAAAAAGAAAATGACAGTCTACATTTTATCTATGACAATATGAAGGGAGAAAATAAGCTTGTTTATGGGTTAATTCAGAATTTTAAAACATTGGTACCGTCATCCATCTTCAGTTTTAACACTAGCAATCCCAGTAACTTTTACTTCTTTGTACATAAAACGAAAATCCAAATGAATTGAAAATGTAAGATTTTACCTGCATCAAGTCTCCTATATTTACTGCAAGTGCTCCCTGGATGGGGGTGACATCAACCCATTGATTCTGATGAAGAACTTGGAGGCCACCCATGTTGTCCTGCAGAAGTATAGTCAGTAAAGAGGGGTCTGTATGATTGCTGGCGCCCCTTGTCAAGCCTGGTTCAGGGCTACGGGGGTAATAATTGCAGGCTATCACTTTGGTATCCATGCATTCTATGCTTGAAAGATAGTCATGACGAAGTCCAAGTGCCTCTGATAAGAGTTCAGAAAGTATCTTGCTGATTTTTTTCATATGACTCAGGTATTCCGTAATCTCTTCTCTGCAAGACAAATTTAATTAAATCCAATAGAAATCTCCAATAGAAATGAATTTACAGAGAGTTTTGAATCTTAATTATATTGCAAATTTGCATTACCTTAAAATTTGAGGAATGAGATCGGCGTCTAGTTTGCCATCTTGACAACCAAATGATACTGAATCCTTCCAAAGTGATGGTTTTGTAGTCAGAGTGGCTGATCCATAGTAGAACCTCACTTTTTTTCTTTGTCACGTGCGTATAGTTCCTTTTTCACCTCCTGAGGTTGTTCGTGGAATCGTTTTGTACCTGCTAACATCTCTTCCAGGACAGTAACTGGAGTTCCATGGTTAACAATTTGAAAGATACCCCATTCTTCTGATGCTTTGCGGATCTCATTGACTACCTCCAGTCGCCGGGATCTTTCAAACCCTTCCAAGTCTATGATCGGAACCTGAAGGCTGGGGTTGTCAGTCTCGGGCGGTGACTTCTGGACATCTTCTTGTGGGTGGACAAAGAACCAGGGAATCTTGGTCACACCAGAGTCCACTAGTCCCTTGACACCAGCTTTTGTTGCCTCAAATGCCTTCGCTTCTTCAGGAATGGAATTTGCAGCTTTGGGAATCATGACTTCCATTTTCGCAAAATAGTGGATGGTACTGCTTTGGTTTTTCTTTTTTTTTTTTTATTATTATTATCTTGATTTTGGTAACAGAACTGGATATTGGGCGAGCAGTATGACGAAGATGAATCCAATTAAATAGAGCTCTTAGGTGGTGATAATTCAAGCGAAAAATATTGTAAAAATATATTTATTTATTTGTGAATAATAAAAAGAAGAAGAAGCTAGTAGTAGGTGGTCATGATCGATGCAAAAACTGGAATTACATCTTTGCGAATTATATGAGGTGGTCATAAAAGGCCGTAAAGGAACAATAGGCATCTTTGCTTTTTGACCTGTAGTTGTCAGATCAGTAGCTAATAGGCCACATGTTTCGTTCAGCTTATTGTCTTTTTATACGCAATGATTAACATCTGTCTCGAACACGTGTCAACCATATATAGGGGACTACATCTACCCATTTTTGTCCTTTCATGTTCTTGTCAAGCAAAGGCTATTCCCATTGAATTTGTCGGTATGGATTGCTAAGGTAAATGGTGAAAAACACAGGGGGTTTATTCCCAGCAAACAAGAAAAATTGCCCAATTAACTCATTTGCAAAGACTAATTAGGCCATTTGCCGCGCCTCTCTCTCTCTCTCTCTCTCTCTCTCTCTCTCTCTCTCTCTCTCTCTCTCTCTCTCTCTCTCTATATATATATATATATATTGTAGTAAGGAAATTATAAATTAGTCCCTCTAATTTTGAAAAACAAATTAATTAATTTTTTATTTCAAAAATAATTCTGTAATATTTTTGTCATTTTTATGTTTTTTTTAATTTTTTTTGTTTTAAAAAAATAGAAAAAAATTAATAAATATTATGAAAAAAATTGATGAGAAAAAAAGATATTTTTTAAAAGTAAAATATTGTTAAATTAAGCGTTGTAAACACATATTAAGAAAATATTAAAAATTAAATTGCTTAATTTTTATCATGTATTAAATCATGATCATTCAATTTGAATTTAATGTTTTCAATTTAATTAAAATGTTTTAGATTTTATATTTAATAATGATAAAAAAATATTTATTTATTTTTGCAAAATAGTGGATGAGATTAATATGAAAACCGTAATTAAAGATCAATTTTATTTGTTATGTTTATTAAATTGTATCATTTTGTCTACTATGCTTTTTTTTTTTTTTTATGTTTGTTGTTCATTTTGGACCTTGAATTTTTTATTTTAATTCATAATAATTTATAATATATTTTCTGTTCAATTATTATTCAGCTTGTTAAATTGTTTCGTGTGTTTTTCTTAAATTATGTCTTATGGTTTGGGTAGATTTGATCGAGGTGTCGGTGGTCATTGCTTTGATGCTAACCATGTTACCGATAATGGTTGTGTATGTGGATGTGGCACTGCTAGTCCAACTATCCGAGGTTGCGGACTTGATAGTGGTGTCGGCACATCTACATCCCCTCTAGTGGTGCCTCCATTGATAATGCTTTTTGTTGTGGATGATCCTACTACATTTTTCTCAACTCCAAAAAGTTTTGAAGGATCCGATGATGGACGGACCATGTGGCTCATGAATAACTAGTAAGTAATATGTTTTACATACGACAATTGTTTTTATATTTTCATCTATTATATTAAAATCATTAATTCACTTATTTATTATTTATTTGTTTTGTTCAACATATTAGCTTCATCAAGTAAGTGCTCTATAAAAATCAATGCAATTTTCAATGAGCGATTAGACGTTGTTGGCTCCACATGAAAGTCTCGTTTCAATGGAGACAAAAGACTTCTACTTCAATAAGTTTAGGATAAAATATTAATTATCTCGCTTATATTTTATTTAAAGTGTTAATTTACCATGAAAAATACTAATATTATTTTTTCCCTACATGTAAAATTATTTTTTATGGGATGCGATCGTCAATGCACTAACTAAGGATGCATGGGAGATTCTAATACAGAGGTAGTACGACAACATGCTTAACAAGCTGAAACATAAAAGTAACAAACCTATGTTTGTTAAACAAGAGGTGTGGAAAGCATGACATAAAGATTGGGCCACTCACGAGTATCGAGTCCGATCTTAGCAGGCGTCTCAAAATAATATGTCGTGGACGGATGTTGTTAGTGCCGACCAATCCAAGCATACTGGAGGGTCCATCTCTTTTATCAAGTATGTTGAACGTTTGGTAAATACTATATTATCTATTGTGTTATAAATTAATTTTTGCATTTATTTCATCTCATATTATTTTATTTATTTTTTAGCATAACAAATTTGGTCATAACCCAAATCCTTACGAGTCGTTCGTGACCACTCACAAGCGTAAGGGTGAGACATTTGTCGATAGGCGATCGCGACATGTAATGGTTATGTTTTATATTTTTTAAAATATATATACATTATCTATATAATCTAAAAATATATATTTATGATTTAATATTTTAATTATTTCAATTACTTAGGAGCGCATGTAATCAATGTAAAAAATAGTTGTTAGGAAGCAACAAGAGGTTGATATATCGTCTCAAGATATTGATATGTTCAAGATATATTTGGATGTTGTTGGAGGGGAGAAGAAGCTAAAGTGTACAACATTAAAACTTATGTGTCATAGTGTTACTTACATTTTAGAGCCAACTCCTCCTCTATCACTTCGTGATATCTTGATGATAATATCTAAGAGGTTTCTGTCTAGTAGGAAGATAGGATCAAAGAGATAAAGGCCGTCATCCAATAACAAGCCAGTCAAATTAACGAATGTCGACTCGGTTATTGAGAATTATGAGGTTGTTAGAGAACCTCCAGCTTGCCTCTCGTCTCTCTTACCGATCCTCTCATAACTTAGTAGTCAACTATTTCTCTCAACAGACTAGCGAGTCAAAAGATTATATAGGAGATGGTGATAATGAAAATTAAATTTATTTTTTAAAAAAAATAACATTTTTTTTACATCTTAAGGCATTTATATATTTATTTTATTTTAATCTATACAATTTTAATTTTATTAAATAATATATTATATTTTAATAAGGTATTGTTTATAGTCGTTTGTTATTACAATTCTCAATAAACGGCTATTAATTTAAAAAATATACCGAGGGATTTTACGACGGAATAAAGAGGGTAATTAGTAATGGATACACATACAGTCGCTAAAATAGCAATGAAATTGCGAGGATATTAGCGACTATAATTTAGTGACGATCCATTCCATCTTTATTTAGTGACGTATTTAATTGGAAATAGCGACATTTTGACGATAGATATGAGACATTACGGACGACCGATTTAGATCGATTTAGCAATTAAAGGTCAATAATTTAACGACGGATATTCTATTACCGATTAGCGATGAAAGAAAAATTGATCTCTAAAAAATAAAGATCATCATATTAGCAATGGAATTTATAATCTCTAATCCATCGTTAATTACATATAACGACAAATTTTTGATAAATAATAATAGATTCGTCGCTCTTTAGCAAAATTCTGGTGGTATCTTCCAACCTCCGAAGCCATAAGCTTAGGATTAGAGTGTTTGTGGGAAAAAAAAAAAATCATGTAAAAAACATGGCAAAAACAATAAAGTCTAAGAAAATGAGAAGAGAAGAATACTTACAGCCATAGATACTTGCATCCCTCTCCTTACATTGCCACCCAATGGATGACACGTCTCCAATAAGCAAAAAAGCTAGCTCACGGACGGCTTCCTCTCCATCTCCATTCCACGAGGTGGAGCAGCCTCTAAAAATATTCCCCACTAAGTGGGGGACAGACCCCGGGCCCATGGAAATTGAAGGGCCTATAACCAAAGTTGACTCTCCGGGAACAGACGAGTCAACCGCCACCTCTTTCCTTGAACACATGAGGGAAAGAACTCGCTGACCGGGTCGGGTAAAGGAAAAACCCTTCGTGATTGGAGGAAAGACACCCATTGATGTAGAGGTGGTGACCACCTCATCAAAAGAACGAGCCAAACATACAACCTTGCTCAGGTACAGGGAGAGAGATCTGAGTTGCACTCTGGAGAAGTGTCTGCCGCCGCCACTGGGGAAGGAGAAGTAGACCTCATTTGCTTATTCATACAAGCTTCGGTACCGCCTAAGCTTACCCTCCTAACAACAACAGGCCCATGAGATCCGTCTGTATGATTTGGGGTGTGAACTGTAAAGCGCCAAGTCTGGTTCAGGACAAGCCCGATAAAAGTGACAGCGAAGATTCCCTTCCCATGCATTCTATGGTTGAAAGGTAGTCACTACGAAGCCCGAGTGCTTCGAATAAGAGTTCAGACAGTATCTTGCTGATTTTGATCATGTGTCTGATGTATGCATGTACCTCTTCTCTGCAAGACAAGTTAAATTAAATATAATAATAATCTCCTAGAGAATGGAATGTATAGAGAGATCAGCTAAAAAAAAAAAACAGGAAAATATATAGGGAGAAATTTGGAATTATCAGCACGTTTACTTGAATACATCAGGAAAAAGAGTTCAGGGTCCTCTAGTTCACCATCCTGCAAACCAATTACTATTGAATCCCTCCAAATAGCTGCTTTTTTGCTTCAGAAAGAGTCCTCCAGAGAAGAACTTCACTCTTTGATTAGGGTCAAGTAAGTACAACTCCATCTTCACTTCCTGGGTTTGTGGAATCGTTTCGTAGCTGCTAAAATATCATCCATGACACTAACTGGAATTCCATGATTAACAATTTGAAAAATCCCCATTCTTCTGATGCTTTATGGATTTCACTGACCACCTCCAGTCGCCGAAAGCTCTCAAACCCTTCCAAGTTTATTGTTGGAACCTGAAGGTTGATACTGTGAGTCTCGGATGTTGACCTCAGCACATTCTGTGGATGGTGGAGGAATCTTGGTCACACCAGGGTCCACTAGTCCCTTAACACCAGCTTTTGATGCATCAAATATTGCCTTCACTTCTTTATCTTGGTCGTGGTTGGACCCATGTTCTGGAATGGACTTTGCAGCATTGGAAATCATGACTTCCATGGTTGCAAAAGTGGATCTGATTTTTTGCCTTTGTTTTTTGGTTTCAGAAGCGGATGGTGATTAGTAAGAGGAGTTGCATCTAATTAAACAAGGTAGTTAGGATGTCCATAATTCAAGAGTGAAAAAAGACATTCGAAAATTAAAATCAAAGTGAACAAGAGACCCTAAGGACTGTGATGTCGACATCCCAGCTGTTCCGATTCTGGATTTCCCCTTGAAGGTCTGGAACTGATTTCGTCCAGTGTTATGTTTTTAGCTATTCAAGTCATTTCTGGTACAGTAACATGCAAGTAAAGATCGTCAGAAGAGGGGAAAAGAGACCCCAAGGGTAGTGTCACATGACTCACATCCCAGCTATTTGGATTCCCACTTGGAGGTGTGGAACTGATTTGGTCCATGGATATGTTTTGAGCTATCTAAGTCATTACAAGAACGATACCATGCAAGTAAATCTCGGAGGTCAGGTGAAGAGAGAAAGAGAGCAAGGTACCTGCCGTTGATTCTTCTTGGTGTCTTAATCATGAAAGATTTGCATAATCTCATTCCCAAATATTTATCTTTCTAGACATCATAAAAGATTTGCCTTATCTAATCTTCAGATGTTTCTCTCCCACGTTTTTCTCATAGGATACCTAGTTTATTATTTATGCTGTCATGTCCCTCTCTCACCCTCATAATTGAAGTCATTCATAACATTTATTGTTGTAATTGGTCTAAATCAAGAAATTGAAAGAATACAAAACTTAATTTTTAGATACAATCATTTCTGTTGTGTCTGTTGCTTCTCAATGAACAAATCTATCTTCAGCAAATTTCTGCAATTTCTTGTTTCCTTTGACTTTTGGTAAATTTCATTTATTGTTATCAGGTAACAACTTTGTACACTCTCCTGGTATAGGTACATTACCAAGCTGGCCTTGCCTGATCTTTTCCGTAAATAAATAGTGTGAAATTTTAGAATATTATTGCTTGTTCAAGGCAGAGCCATGTCTTCACTCTAGTTGTTCTGTTGCATGAATATTCAACTTCTACAAGGAGTGCCTGATCACGCTTGTAGCATCCCGATATAAGATAGCAACACTATAGTGTAGATTTTGGAGCAAGTGGAGAGGCATAAATGTTGGAAGGATTTCAAATTGCAAGTTTGACATGTATGTTTATGGGATTGACATAAGTGCTGGGTTTTCTGCACAATTTATAGTCTGTCTTCAGAAAATGAGAGAACTTGTATCAAATTCCAAAAACTTCTCATCCATCAACTACATGATGTTTAGACACATTTTTGTAACAGGCAAGAATCAGTAAAGCAGTGGAAAATGAGCATGCCACATCTTTTAATGATAGATTCTTCATTTTGTTTCTGCTTCGAAATTTTATTTTTCTGGCTTACATTTAAGCTTCTTTGCAGTTTGGATTCAGAACCCACCAGCACACCATGAAAGTTTGAAAGCAAGAAAAGAAAAGGGGGAAATATAACTAACCCTTGCAATCGTGTAGTAATAATGACAATGACAAGAAAGTATAAGCATGATCACTATATTTTCTTCCTAACTACAACAAATGTGGAAATTGTCGGTGTGTCTGAAAGGATAATAAGACTGGCCTATTTCCCTAACATGTCGCATCAACAGATTTAGTCATCAAGTAGAACTTTCCTCGTAAAAAATGAAAGCACTTCATGACATTTCATCATCTTGAGCTACAAAAAGATTGCAAAGAGGTATGGAAGAGAAGCAGAGGGCCCAGTCTGTCAAAATTTGAATGAACGAGTGCAAAATAGCTCACAAGCCAAAGTCCAATTCAGCTCGTTTCAATGCAGTTGTCACCCTCTCATAAAAGTCAGGTTCCATTTCCTTGATTTCTTCAAGCGTCCTCGACTCATGTTCATCTGCCTGCAAAGAAGAGAAACCCTTTTAATGAAATCTCAACCCATGTTCCAGTTTAGCATGCCCAATTCCAAGTAGTTTATTTCATAGCAAAGGCATCAACACAGATTAGTTTCATTCTTATAACTAGCAATGCCTGTCAAAAGGAATGGCAAAAGATGTTTTATATTGTTTTACTACTTGAATTTAATGATTAGAAGCTTGCAGCTTTAAAAACCTTTTTCCAATGAATTATACAAACATGCAGTAAAAAGGATCGCGTGAAGATAGAAATAGTCAATCAGTGAAAAGTGCAATTAAAAAAAAAATATTAAGCTATGGCTCCATCTTTGGTGTCCAACCCTGGCAGTCAAATTCCCCCTTACCTGGTAGTCAAAAAAAGAAGAAAGCTTAAATGAACCAAGACTTCAAAGCTAAGTTTGGTAGCATACTATCTCCCTTAAGGTGCTAGTGAAAGGGAATATAATAATGGCAACTTGTTAACTATTTTCTGAAGGGTGGCTACAGGTGCATATGAAACTTCTAAAAGAGTTGGAATACTCCAGTTTTAATTTTCAAAGAAAAAATTCTTAAATAAGAAAGAAGTTTCCCTTGAGTTGCTGAGATGATATACTCTGCTAAAATCATAAAACAAAAGGCTATATTGGAAATATGGCAATTAAAACTATTCAACTTATTCCCAATTTCATGTAAGATAAGATTGATATTAACTAGAAATCCAAAGGAAAAAAAAAAGTGATTCGAGGAAAATGGTACATAGCAGGAAACTTAACAAGGAAGATACATGCGAAGAGAACAAGACTAGAGAAGCTTCTAGTGCATCAATGCGAAGGAAATTCAAATTGTGGACATCCAAGACCATCTAAAGTCCCATTATTTGTTCGAAAAAAATAAATGAAGATACCTCTTTAAATTTTAAAAGAATCAAGTTTGAGACAGATGCTGGCTTCTCTTTGTCCCACCTGAAGAGAAAGAACCAACAGGCAAATGTACAATCATTAATAATTAGGTCCAGAATTACCGTCAAGATAACGCCAATTGAAGTAAGAGACATGCCACTAATGTTGTAATGTTTTTAAACCATATCAGTATACATCAAAGATTAACACCTTCCCACTGAGCTCTGAAAATGCATGCACTTTCCTGGAAAACTATTCCATATCAATACACTACATGTGAACATTGCACTGCCAGTATAATTGGCAAAAGAATAGTATTGTGTCTCAGTTTTAGACAATAAAAAATGATTGATAAATGCTAAAAGGATTTAATATGGAGAAACTTGTACCTCACAAGCATTAACTCGTTTACAGATCGCCACATTCCACGTCCAACATCTTTTGCAGACTGATCTCTAGCACTTCGCCCATGCCACAGTTCTTTGGCAATATACATCACTTCCTCAGCATCCACCTATAAGAAATAACAGCAAAGAACAAAAAATGTATTAAAAAGTAAACATTAGTAATTCAAGATGATGCAATCCCAAATGCCCCAGGAGTACTAGATTCCAACAAGCAAGCAGCACATAGGGTGTTTGATACACCAGAAACTGGATGATTTTTATTTGTTCCTTTTCCTTATAAGATTAAGTCAAAGAAAACTTACTGTTTTACATGAAAGAAAATATATTAAGCACCAAAAAGAATTAAATAAGGTAAGGATCCGAGTACAGTATAACCCAAGAGGTTGGTTCAAATGTGGGATGGACCAGGCTAAGTGCCTTGTAGCATAGGCCTCTAGCGCGATTGTCGCTAGATAAAAACACTTCCTTGAGGACCATGCCCACAGACACAAGTTCGTTATATAATATTATTACATGTGGATGATCAGTCTGCATGGGCCCAAGAAAAATTTAACTAGTGGTGTTATTTCTATTGCATAAACCCCCAACCAGGTAAAAATTCTGGCTTCGCCCATGGTTGAATGAAGTTTTCCACCAATGGCATCCTACAGTCTATCACAACAGACCAAAGGAACACGTTGGCATAAAACTAAACTTATTCCCCTAAAACTCACAATTCTTAAGTTTAACGGTCTCACCCCTTAAAAAATAGAAAAATAAATATAAGAAAAAGCAAATGAATAAAACACTTTTTATGCTTTGAATCCTTTAATAGCTCTTGGAACACATAAATACACCAGGCCATGGTGAAACTCAATGTCCGCCACCAGACACCCAGGCAATGAGCAGCAAAGTGATCATGAAAGAGTATCAATTAGTAACTTCACTTCTGAAGGCATTTCCATACCTGGACTTGCACGGCAGTGCCAAACAATGACTCCTCATGCTCAATAAGACGCTGATGAAGCACCCGATAATGATCCAAATCTAAATTTACTATAGGCTCTGTTTGAACATGCAATCCCGTGAGTTGTGTCACAACATAGGAGGCCATGACCTGTCCAAATATTGCAGGGATGGTACCTAAAACAGGTATTATGCGAACCCTAAATCCAGGTACTACCTGATATGGGGATAAGATGTAAGAATATCGACACAAAAGTTTACATACTAAAAAAAACATGTTATAGCAAGGAGCTTTTTATTTGCAGCAGCTAAGCTAAATCAGCCACATTATTAAAATTCCCAGAATTAAAAGTTATTGACAAAAGTAGAAGATGTTGCAACAAAAATAGCGATAATCTCAAGTCTCACCTGATAGTCAGAAGGATTTTCTTCTTCTCCACTTGGTCCCTTAAATGGAAGCAGCTTAGCTTTAGGTTTTTCTAAAGAGAACACAACAGGGATGCCACCCTCAATGCCATAGTCTTTCCTCAGACGGTATCTCACCTAGAAGGCAGATTCTATATTAACAGTCACATCGAATGCTACAGATAAGAAACTACTAAAGCAATGATCGACAAACCAAGATTACGCAGATGAAAAAATCTAGAAAAAAAAAAGAATTTCAGAAGCATACAGCTCGAGATAATGGGTCGTTTGTTGACTCTCTTAAATCAGCCACGCGTATTCTTGTTGGGTCAGCTCTAGCACCTGCTCCAGTTGCAGATAGAACCTTTAAACCCCTACGCACACATGCAGCAAGAAGTGCCACCTATTACATATGAAAATTCAAGCACTTAAAGATAAATTTCTGACAATTCATGTTAAAACTCATGAATGGGTGTTATGATTCAAGCTGCCCCATGTCACAGAATTCTGCCTGCAAACTTAAAATTTAGCAGTTAAAGGTCTAGCCACTTTAAATAAGTAGCAGGACTCAATGGTAAAGAAAATATCACATAAGCAATTCAACTATGATGTTAATTATTAGTATAAAGCTAGCAATCATCAAAACTTAAATGCAAGAAGAGTTACCTTTGTATCAATGTTATCAATGCAGTCCAAAACAAAGTCAGGATGACCTGAAAGAATTTCTTCTTCAGTTGATGCATCATAAAGTAGTATTTTTGCTTCTATGTGGCACTCTGGGAAGATTGTTGAGAAATGCTTCTTGAGACACTCGGCTTTTGGAATACCAACATCTGCTCGAGTTGCAACAGCATGGCGATTTAAGGATGAAACAGAAACCTTTTTCAGAGAATCAAGAACAAAATCAAGAAAAAGATACACGTTCCTTACATATATGCATAAACATGATGTCATGATACAGGCTATTTTAAAAGCATAGAACAGACTTATTCTAGATAACATTATGCTTAATGAACCAAAGTTAGAAATTACTATTGATCATATTTTTGACATACGAACAAAGTGTATAAGAAACCTAATAGAAATGAGATCACCTACAAAAAAGGAAGTCCAAACCAATAACAAAAGGTAATTCAGAAACATAGGCATAAAACACAAAGTACCTGGTCAAAATCCACAAGTAGGAGCCTGCCAACTCCTGATCTTAAGAGCATTGATGCAGCATGACTCCCAACACCTCCAAGACCAATGACAACAACATAGGATGCAGTCACCTTCTGTTGAGCCTCAAGGCCAAAGAATTGAATGTTCCTAACAATGTCACATAACACGAATTATTCTAGTGAAAAAACTAGCCTTAAACGTAACTTGCCTAACAAAAATCTAAAGTTACAAACCAGTGCAAAACTCTAAGAGCTCTATTAACCACAAGCATGCATATCCATTATTTAAAAATCTGGAAATACTTACGGTGATGTTTGCTGTGCCATCATTGGTTGCCTCAATAGTCTTCAAGACAATGTCTCAAAAACATCGAACCAAAGCCATCAAAAGTTTCAAACCTTCAAATTATCATGTTCAATTATCCAGCAGCCAACCACTTCTTTTAAAAAATTCTTGTCAAAGTGACAATTACATTCAATTTCAGTAATTCAAATCTCAAAGTCAAGATATTTGAAACAGCATTATGCCTGTCTCTTTTTTTCATAGAAACAAAGGAAAAGTACAGAATTTAGGAAAAAGCATTGAAGAGAAATTATGGGATGCTGTACTAGTGCAGGAAGATAAACCGTCAAAGACATTCTTTGTAAGCAAAAGAGACTCTCTGCTATGAACTAGCTTTAACATATTGAATAGGTATTTGGGATTGCTTGGGTAAAAATCAACCTGTATAACTTAAACATGATAAGAAAAACAAAAAAGCAGCCCATGGCTCTTACAGAAGGGAAACCTTCAAAAACAATAGTTCCTTAAAATACATAAAGTGATGCAAAATTACTTTACCTAGTCAATTGCTCAGAAACTATTTCATCTGCTAAAAGGTCTGAACTAGCCATTCCAGAATTCCTATCCACATCAACCAAACTTCTCACCGATGATTCCGAAACAATTCCTTTACCTATTCATTAAAAAAATAAATAAATAAATAAATAAACATATTTAGAAATAAGTAAACCAGAATCGCCACCGAACCCAATTTATCATCTCTTTAAAAATTTATCATTTTTATCAAAAACCCGAAAAAAATTTCCACCCAAACTACAAGCTTTAACTTCAATTAAGACCACCATTTCCTACATATGATGCTTTTCTTTAGTATTTGATAAGAGGCAATCAATACAAACCAAAAACAATGAAAAAAAAAAACAACAAAACAAAAACTGTCTACTACAGAAACAAATAAGAGAGCAACTAACCATCATTCAATTCAATTCCCCTTCCATTGCATTCTTTTTCTGGCCTTCTGTAATAACTCAAACACAAGAAAACAATTAAAACAAAAGATTCAAACTTTAACGAAATCTTTTTCCTTTTCCAACTTTTGATTGGTGAAGTGACCGAGTGACTTGCCGTGGAAGAAGCTTGAGAAGGAATAGAGTAGAAACAGAACCTAAAAGCGCTCCAGCTCCCACTAATGTCAAGTATTTCAGTCTCTCCTCCATTGCTTTCTCTTTAATCTTTTTTCCCTTCTTCTGTTTCTCAGGGTTTGCAAAGCTGAACAGAGAGGTAGTTTTTGATTTAAGACAGAAGATACAACAGGGTTTAAGTTTAACTCGATGAGTTCATGATGTTCCAACTGAATGGGCTAAGGCTGCTTGTTTGAATTTGGGACCTAACCTTTACGGGCCTTCATTTCTTTGGGTCCAAATCTTTTTTTTATTGTTTTTTTTTTCATGTAGAAAATTTTTTCTAATTCGTATAAAATTTTTTAATATTTGATTTTTAATTTGAAAAAGAAAATAATTTCATCAATTAATAAAATAATAAAAATAATAGAAGTGATTATAGTAGTAATGGCATTAATAGTGATTGTGATGGTAGTGAAGCAAGAGGAGGATGAAAAGAAAATGATAATAATAACAGTACAATAACGTATTTTTAAAATAAAATTTTAAATATTTTGATTTATTTTTTAATATTTTACTTTTCAAATGCCAATAGTTCTTAAGAAGCGAGTTTCAAATATATTTGTTAATATTTTTATAAAAAATCTTATTTAGTCAATAAATTTGGAGAGTGACTTATAAATTAGTTCATCTTTTAAAAAATATATTATTTTAATATTATTTTATTTTATTTTTTAATTTACAATAAATAAATTTTATGGAAAGATTGAAAAGAAGAATATATTTTTAAAAATAAAATAACATTAAATTAATAAGGATCTATCCTAATTAATAAATTAAATAATTAATTTTTTTAACAAAGATAATTAATTTATTTCTTGAAAATAGAGGGACTAATATAAATCACGAACAGACCAAATATAAAATGACCTAAAAAGTTTAATGAAATTATTTTTTTCGGCCACCTAGATCTGGTTCATGAAATAGCCACGTTGCCGTACCATGTTTAAAAGGTGCCGTAATACATTTAAAAAAAAAAAGTCCGAATCCCGGAAAGGCGGAAACCACGAGAAGAATCTGGAGGCGTGCAAGTCAAGTTAATTAAGAGTTAAGATTTGGACCCACCGCAACGGCACCGCTTTCAGATAACTTCATTACGTCCTATAAATACCCAGCTTTCTTGTTCGTTTCCTCATTCATTCTCTTCCAAAAAAAACTCAAAAAGCAATCTCTCTCTTTGTTTCTCGTCTCGCTAAGGTAATAGTTTCTTCTTGAATCATTTCGTAATTAATTATTTAATTATTCTCTCTAATTTCTCTAATTAATACGCAAGGTTTTCTTGATTTCTTGTGAGATTGGATTCGTGTTTCTTGCTTTTTTTTTTTTGTGGGGTTTTGATTGATTGATTCGTACCTTGAAATTGAAAGTAAATAATAATAATAATTTCATGTAAAAGACATATTAATGGCGGCTTAGCGTCAGCTGATACTTATTAAGATTTCGTTTTTCGAATCTGTTCAGGGTTTATTAAGTTCTTAACTTGAGTTTGCTATCTTTGATTAATTGATTCTTAGAGTATTTCTTTTGTTTTTTAGTTTGCAGCGGATTTGTTCTCTATAATTGCTTTGCTCTGTTTTGATGCTGATTGAGAGTTGGTTAATTGGATTGTTAAAAATATGTTTAAAGGACTATTTATTTCTTTAGATGTTCTTCTGTGATTTATATTTTAAGAAATTGTTCAATTGAAATTTGGGGATTAGGATTTGTTGGGGGTGATTTCTTTTGCTTAATCTTTTTGGGGTTTTCGATGATTAGGCTTCAGCATCAATAATTGAATTGGGTTTGTTTGAGTTGTTATTTCAAATTGGTCTGTTTTGATTCTGGATTGGAACTATAGTGTGTTATGCTTCAGTTTTTTAAAAATTAAATCTTTTAATGTTGAATTATGGAGGTACTGAAAATTTTCTATCCTTTGGGCGTAACAGATGCAGATCTTTGTTAAAACTCTTACTGGCAAGACTATCACCCTTGAGGTGGAAAGCTCTGACACCATTGACAATGTGAAGACTAAGATTCAGGACAAGGAAGGGATCCTTCCTGACCAGCAAAGGCTTATCTTTGCTGGAAAACAGCTGGAAGATGGAAGGACCCTTGCTGACTATGACATTCAGAAGGAGTCTACGCTGCATCTGGTGTTGCGTCTTCGTGGTGGGATGCAGATCTTTGTGAAAACTCTTACCGGCAAGACCATCACTCTGGAGGTTGAGAGTTCTGATACTATTGACAATGTGAAGACTAAGATCCAGGACAAGGAAGGAATTCCACCGGATCAGCAAAGGCTCATCTTTGCTGGCAAACAGCTTGAAGATGGGAGGACCCTTGCTGACTATAACATCCAGAAGGAGTCCACTTTGCATTTGGTTCTCCGCCTGCGAGGTGGGATGCAGATTTTTGTCAAGACGTTGACTGGAAAAACCATTACCCTTGAGGTGGAAAGCTCGGATACCATTGATAACGTCAAGACAAAGATCCAAGACAAGGAGGGAATCCCACCAGACCAGCAAAGGTTGATTTTTGCTGGCAAACAGCTAGAAGATGGTAGAACCCTTGCAGACTATAATATTCAGAAGGAATCTACTCTGCATTTGGTGCTACGGCTACGAGGCGGAATGCAGATCTTTGTCAAGACCCTGACAGGAAAAACCATTACTCTGGAGGTTGAAAGTTCGGATACCATTGACAATGTCAAGACAAAGATCCAAGACAAGGAGGGGATCCCACCGGATCAGCAAAGGCTCATCTTTGCTGGGAAACAGCTTGAAGATGGAAGGACCCTTGCTGATTATAACATCCAAAAGGAATCAACTCTGCATTTGGTGCTTCGTCTGCGTGGTGGGATGCAGATTTTCGTGAAGACCCTGACTGGAAAGACCATAACATTGGAGGTTGAGAGTTCAGATACCATTGATAATGTCAAGACCAAGATTCAGGACAAGGAGGGTATCCCACCAGATCAGCAGAGGTTGATCTTTGCTGGAAAGCAGTTGGAAGATGGACGTACCCTGGCAGACTACAACATCCAGAAGGAGTCCACATTGCATCTTGTCCTCCGCCTTCGTGGTGGTTTCTGAGTCATGATTTTCTGTCAATGAACCATCTCATTTTAGTCTTTACTACTATTATCAAGTATTAGGAACCTTTTCTGGTTTGAATAAATGATGCTGATATCGCACAGAGGTTGCCTCTTGTTACATTTTACTATCTTAATGAAGTTCTATTGTACATGAACTATTTACGAGTCTGGCCGTTCTTAATTATCACTTGCTGCTACCTACAAGAAGGCTTGTAAAATGCCTTCCTGAACATAGCCAGAAAAAAAAAAAAAAAAACCCTCGTGAATAATCTGGTTTTGTCCCATAAAATACTTTGATTTTGCCCTTTCCTTACTGTTCTGATTGTGTTTTGATGAAAAAACTAGGAAAATGCTCTAATTAATATCTCATCTTCTCCTCTCTTCCTTCTGTCTAATTCTAAGTTCTTTCTAATTCTAATCTTGGAAAAATAAAAAATCTCGTCCTTTTCTTTCTTTTTAATTCTAAGCTTATAAGATATAGAAGCAAAGAAAAATCAAATCAAGTTTCGTAAATTTCTACAAGAAAACATAAATTGAAAATATCAATTAAATTTATCTCTAAAATTTCAATTTTAAAATTAAAAAAAAAAAAGGGAAATAGGTTGATCTTCGAATTGAAAAGGTGATGGTGACTTAAACATGACTTCTTTTTAAAAAAAGAAAATACTTTAAAAAAAACGTCGCATGGCTTGCATTTGTTTAGTTGAGGTTATTTATGAAAAAATAATAATAATAATCATCTGCAAGTGTGTGATTTTTATTTTTTTTAATAGTTTGGCTAAAAGTATTTATCAACATAACAAATTAAAAATTTATTTAAAATATACAGATAGAATTAACTTATTTTAGAATATAAAGGCAAATTAGATAATAACTTCATTATATACAATGAGAGATTTGAGTCATTGCTCCAACACTGCTGCGTTCAGTCCTCAGAGCTATTATTTTTTCGAAAAAATTAGTCAAATGTTTGGACTTGTCAAAACATGTTATGGTTATCACTTTTTATTGTAATCATGTCTGCTAAAATAAATAAATAAATTGGCTAAGTATAAATAAAAAACTTACTTGACAAGCAAATCGTTCTTTAAATGCCATATCAGACATCTTGTCACCTACTGGATCGCATAAAAAAGAAGTTGCGTATCTTGATTTCTCTTTCTTTTCAAATTGTTCAAGATTTAGTAGGAAGACAGCTCTCAAGTGAGAAGATAAATCAGTGCAAATTTTATATTTGGCAATTATAATGATTGGATTCTTAAGAACAACATATGTGTAGATCCCTCTCAAAGGTTCTAGTGTCTTAAAAACATTATTTTTTTGAGCAAATATTTGGATATCCATTTTGATATGGACAAAACAATACAAAGGGTCAAGAGTTTCTAAGCATTCTTTAGCTTCTCCCCGAGTTTTTAATTCATTAATTGTTAAAAGACTGAAACTTTTCTTGAATGCTTACTTAGCAACCACGAAATTGAATTTTATTTTTTTGTATTACTAATAATTTTATGCTCGTGGCCTAACTTTGTCAGATAGACATAACATTGTCATTAGAAAAAAAAAAAAAAACATGAAAAATTTATAATCTGACCAACATGCAATTTGGCTAGATAGATATAGTGCTGCCACAAGAAAGAAAAATTGAACATTAAATGCTAACAATTTGACCAAATAAAAATAGTGTATTTAAAAAATAAAAAACAGACTAAGCTTGAAAAGCTTACAATCTAGTTAGCATGCAACTCGATTAAATTGATATAACGTTGCTTAAAAAAAAACTAAAAACTCATAATCCGACTGGCATGCAACTTGATTATATGATCATAGAGTTAACTTAAACAAAAAAATGAACCGAGTATGAAGAGCTCACGACCTAGACAGCACCTAATTTAACAAAATGGTTATAATGTTGCCACCAAAAATAAAAAATAAGCATAAAAAACTCACGCCTTGATTAGCATAGAGCTTGAATAAATAGACATGACTTTGCCATAAAAAAATGAGCATGAAAATCCCATAGCCAACACGAAACTTAGTCAAAAAAGACATGGAGTTGTCACCGTTGCCATTAGAAATAAATACTAAGCATGAAGAGTTTACAACCTGTCTAGTGTGTAGTTTTGCCATATGGATATGGCATTACCATCGAAAGAAAAATCGAGCATGAAGAGCTCACGACCAAGCCAATGCATAGTTTGACCAAACGAATACAACGTTGTCATCATAAATAAAATTAAAAAAAATAAAATAAAATAATAAACATGAAAAGCTCATGGCTTGACCAACTATCAGCTCATCCATATTTATCTCTTAGCAATTTTTATCAAATTTAAGTTGAAAATAATTAGTTTTTTAATGCTAAACTACTTCAATTTGATAGTAAAAACTAAAAAAAATAATAATAATAACAATTAGACATTTTTTTTAGCAAATTAGGTTCTCTCTAAAGCATCTTAGTTGACAACGAGATAGATACTAGTCTTATCGGAATACATGTATCCATTCTGCGTTATAAAAAATCTTGTGATTATACAATTCACCCTCAATCCAATTAATATGTAATATAGCTTGGATTCATGTCAAAATAAATTAAAAAAAATACATAAATTAGCACATAATAACATTAACATTAGCTAACATTACTTAATTAATTTTTTTAAAATATCAAACATATACACATTTATATTGTTTTAAAAAAATTATTATGTTTAATAATATATTTCATAACAAAATACTCCCTCTGTCCCATTTCTGATTCAACCATTCCTTATCAAACCGGTAAAAGTCGGGTTTTGTTTTTTTTTTTTTTTTTTTTTTTTTTTTGGGGGGGGGGGGGGGTTGTGGCGGGCTGCATCGGTTATTCAAAGAGTTGGGCCAAATTACCATCCTTATTTTTTTCTGGGTCTTGTCCAATTGCCAGTGCTGAAATTAACTGGCCCAATGGGCCCTATTAGAGCGAAATCTACTGTGTACGAGAATCAAAGTCCATTACATAAAAAGAAAACGAAGAAAAGAAAAGGAGAAAATCATTGTCCAAGCAAAGAAGGAAGGGAGAGGAGGAGGAAGAAAACGCCCCTGAAGAAGAAAAAAATCACAATTTCAAAATGGATGCAGCGAAGAAGAAGGCACTTTTTCGAGCAAAACTGAACGCCCAAAAGAAAGAGAAGAAAATCGATTCTCCTCTTGTTAGGTACACCCCATTTTGTAAAAATTTCATTGTTCAATTGATTTTTTTGTAGAGTTTATGATAATGGGTTTTTGATAGAAAGTGGAAATAATATAGCAAATTATAGTATCTAAGCATGGGGTTTTTGTGTTTTAAGCTAGAATATAAGCAGTTTTTGAAAAACCCCGTTTTGATTTTATTATTCTGTTCTTTGGTTTCTGCTTCGATTTTTGGATAGTGGGTATTGAATTATTGATGGGTTAATTTTGCTGAGATAGTTTGTTGGAGTTGAAGGAGTGCAAAATTGGGTTGAGGGATTATATGGGTTTCATTGTTTTACTTTGTTGAATCATTTGGAAGTGAGGTTTTTTATCATTTAACCGAGATGATGTTCTGCTTTTTCTTGTTATTATGCATGTGCTTGAGTTATTTTTCTTTAAGACCTCCTGTTCGTATGGGTATCGGTTTTGATCTTTTTATTGATACTGTTTTTTCAGTTAGCTGTTTACAAGACAAATTGAAGTTTTAAATTTTTAATTGCTCTCTTTCTTCTACAACATATAGGTACAATGAATTGGATCAACCGGTTTGTAGGGTTTGCGATGTTGTTTTGAAATCTGAGTTCCAGTGGGATGCTCACCAAGCTTCTCGTAAACATATTGAGGTAATATAGGGATATCTCAATCTTCTTGTCTTTTCCAAATGATTTTCTGATAATACTTTTGGGAGGGGCTAGTTTAGAAATATTTATAAACATAATAAATTTGGGGTGCCATCTTGCTTTTGGTGAGAATTTTCTGCTAGGGAAAAAGCTTCCACTATTGACTTGAATGTCATCATCTGTTAGAACCTTGAAGATTCCTAAATGTGTGTTTATTGTAGTTGAACTTCAATTTAAATAATCTCAATAGTATTTTGAAATTAATCATACCTTGGACTCGATCATTATGTCATTCTATCTGCGAAATTTGCCACATGAAAGTTCAAGGAAATAATGATAGACATACTTCAGGAACTACTCCCAAATGTGTATTGCATTGTGTTCCTGAATCGTGACCTGAGGAATCATTTCCAATTATAACATTTTCTTTCATTTTTCTGTTCATCCCAGTTGACTTTTGCTAACTGGTGGGTTATTTGGGACAGGCAATAAATAACATCAAAGCTAATGCAGCTCGAGTAAAGAATGTTAACAATGCAAAACGTGAACCCTCTGCAGAGTCAACTGGATCTAAACATGCGGATAATGCTCCACTGAGAGATACAAAATCTGAGCCCTCGACAGAATTGCCTAGGCCCCAGTCTGTTCTTCCTTCAGATTTTTTTGATAATAAAGAGGCGAAGAAACAAAAAACTGGTACATATTGCTTCTTTGATTCATCTGAATTCCATAGGAAAAAAGGTTCTAGTGTCCAGTATGTTGTAAACATGCTTTAAATGAGTAGCTAAATAGTATTACAATAGCAATTTTCTCTTTGAATTTTACTGAGAGAAACATTGACATAATTTGGTACAGTAGTGCAACTTTCTTCAAGCAGTATCTTTGTGAGGCTCATTTAACATTTTCTTCCCTCATTGTGTGTTGTTTTCTGCAAACTTTTTTCCAGCATCTCTTTCCTTAATTTCCAGCCACCTTTTAGGCACTAAATTTTTATCTTATGCATTATAAATTGTAGGCACGCCCTCGTTCCTCTCCTACATTACACAACTCCCCAAAAGACATGATGTTTTCCCTCTCGACTACACCTGCCACCTGTGTCCTGTTTTAACAGTCCCAATCTTCAACTTATTATTTTTTGGTTTACATGCAGTAGCTGATCGTTAAACTTAAGTTAAAAATTGCTGAAGATTTTACTCAAGAAGACAACCTACAACCTACTACATGAGAAATCATTATCAGAATGCTTGGCATACAAAATTCAGCCTTTTGGGCTCTTCATAAATGGTAATTTGTTGAAGCTGTGTAGTAAGTCTAATTGCTTTACTGACGAGGTGATCAAGTTAAAATATTCAGATGCAATAATTTATCACATGTTTTACCTACTACTGGGAAGACGGTCAATAGTTTGGTTCCTTGTTTCCCTTCTTTGTCTATACTAGTTTTTTCTGTGTCATAGTTGGTACCATGTTTGCATAGAACCTGCGCTTCTGTCATTCTCAGGAACGCGTTTAATGTGTTGTCCTTAAAAGTATTTGGCACCAGTTGTTGGGTGGGTATGAACTTTATGACTAACATTTATTGTTTAGGTGCAGATGCTGTCAAGCCATTGGAGCCAGATTCATCTAAAAAGTCAGCTGATTCTATTCAAACTAAGGCGACACAGTCTTTCTTGGAAGATGAGACAGGTGGATTGCCTAGTGGTAATCGTCTACAGACAAAAAAGACAGAGCATGCTCGGGGTATTACAAATACACCCACCGAAATTATTGGCTCACAAGCCAAGCAAGGACAGGGAGCTCTTCCTGAAGGCTTCTTTGATAACAAGGAAGCTGATTTACGTGCTCGTGGTATTAAGCTTGTTAAGCCAGATGTCAAGTAAGTTACCCAATTTTATTTCTTATGTGTGATAATCCTAGTTTATCTACAATGATGTTAAATGAGTTTCTTTTCAGCCAGAATGTATTTCTTTTCTGTTTCCTGAATATCAAATTTACTTTAGGCAAATTCAGTTGATGAGGCAGAAAAGGCATAAAATGTTCCATGTTATAGTGAAGACAAAGAAACTGGTCACTTGCAAAAAGATGAAAAAGAATGATAATGAATTCAAAGAACCAATGGAACTAATGAAAATATTTCTCTAAAAGTAGTCTTCTCTGTATTGGTTTATGCAGATGCAGATTTGATATCTTTAACTGAAAGTTAAATCAAACTACTTAGTCTCAATATTCCATAAATCTTCCACTTTCTTGAGCCGTTATTAAAATTTTTTAGCATCTCCTCTCTTTGTCACCCCCACTCCTTCTGCATCTCGACCACCTAGTGATCTAAAAAAGTATGCAAATGAAATGACTGTGTGTTTCCTGGAGGGTGTCTTCTCTTCTTCTCTTCTTCCTTAGTAACCCTCATGGAAAATTGTAGTGTATTAGAAGCTTTTGTGTAGATACCATTTTGAGATGCCCAGAAGTTTCCGATGTCTTGCATCTTCCTTCTGAACTTGCTGCGTATTATATTTCCTCTTCTAGTTCTTCAATGTATTATTCGTAACAATCTTTCCATTATATTTCATATGATTTGGGATGCAGCCTAAACTTGAATTTATGTTAAATCCTGGTTAGTGATGAGTACAAGGAATTTGAAAAGCTGATCCAAGAAGACCTGCGGGAAGTGGATGACCGTTTGGAAGAAGAGGAGGTAAGGGCTTATATATCCTGATGCCAACCACTTTAAAATTAGTTCTATTTTCCTTTTAGACACCTGCCAACACAAGAAACTCATGTCACTAATATGTTGCATTGTAACTTCAGATTGATGCAGCTGAAAATATTGAAGAAGCTGAATCTTTGGAGCAGAAGTGAGTTCATTTTGGCCAACAACAGTGAAATACTCATTTTCTTCAGTTCTCAATAATAATAATAATGTCTGCGTTAATTTTGTTACTAATTATTCCTGCTTCTCTTTCATTTTTTATCTCTATTTTACCAGGGCCTATAGAGAAAGAGTTGAAACATTGAGAAAAAAGAAAATGGAGCTGATGGCTGCCAGGGCTTCCAAACGCAGCAAAGGTTCGGAGGTTGCTAACAAAGAGGCCAGTCATGAAGAGTCATCCAGTGACGATGACAGTGATGTAGATTTTGCAGTTGATTGGAGAGCACAGCATTTATGAATGGGTTAGTGTTAGAAACTTTTGTGCTGGAGCAGGGCGGAGATACTGCATGCTTCTCTTTATATTGCCATGATGTGTGAATATCAGTACCGCTTTCCCTGGTCTTTCCAGGTTCCCAATCTAAATTAACAACACTAACATGAAGCAGAATTTGCAAGATTTACTGTATTTCTGATCAGTTTTTAAACTAATCAATAGAAATTTGAATGCATCTCTTAAAATAACAGTGAGTAGAAGTGACATGATTATTTGCAAACTTTGGATCATATTTCCTATCTGTAAACTTTCGAACCCTTAACTCTCTCTTCAATTGAAATTGAAAATATTCGAGCTATATTCTCCTACTCGTTCTTTGATTTTTAAATATAGAATTGCCATAGACCATAAGCGTTCATGGATAACAAGCTGGCTACTACATGAGTCATTGCTTTGTCAGGTTCAATTTTCCAAGTTCTTAACTTTTAAGACCATGATCATGAACTGGCAACAGGGTTAAAGTTCAATATTATAAGTTTTATAATATCATATTAAAGAACCATTTCAACCTAAAAACTTAAGTTTTTAGGTATCGAGTGAACCTTCACGATATGATTTATATTAATGTTATGAACATGAAAGTGAGTCAGCTAACCTCAGCCCTCTCCTGGTAGGATCTGAGCAATGAAATAAAAAGGAATTGAACTCGTGTTTCTTGAAAAACAACATTTGTTACTTTCACTTGACTTAGGTTTTGGATGGGTTGGTCAATGAGATAAAGTGCTGCCACTGCAAAAAGGAAGGAAAAGAGTAAAGAAAAATAAAAGAAGCTAAGGATAATCATAACCATGGCATATTGATAAGCATCTCTAGCATATCATATTAAAATCTAGATTAATATAAGCTAAGCAAGGTAATCCCTTTTTTTCATTATTTATTAGGTTAAACGGTCTAATTCTCTCCTAAACCCTTAACTTTCAATTTTTTTATTGGACTTTCCTCTTTTAACTTTTTTCAAATTGAATTATTCTATTAGATTTTCATTTATTCTGACGCATAGGTATAATTTTTCAATAATTAAAAACATATCATAACTTATAGATGTTTTGCTTTTTTCTCTATAACTTGTTTTTTTTTTCCTCCTAAATGGTAAAAAATAAGCAATAAAAAAAAACATATTTTGAAGAGGAAAAAACTAGGTATCCATAAGTTTGGCATATTTTTAGTTGTTTAAAAGTTAAAAGTTAAAAGTTAATCATGTACAAGTCACATGTAGTTACGTCGTTAGAATTGATAGAAACCCAATAAAATTACAAAGAACTATCCTAATTCAAAAATTTAAATTATTAATTAAAGCTTCAGCAATAATTTTATATTATTTTATATCTTAAATTTTTGATATAGTATTAGAGTTTTGGTAATTAAATAATCACAAATTCATATCTCACCACTTTTATTCTCTCTTATTAAATTTAAATAATTAAACATAAAATTATGGTGAACATGTGAAAATTTTAAATCCAACGAATTTTCATTTAAAAGGATGTGTTATATAATAATATAAAATCGTTAACAAAATGTCAACCAATAGTTTAATCTTTAGGATGAAAATGATTTATTTTTGACAAGAATGACGAAATTTTAAATGAAAAATAATTAAAAAATTGTGTCAAATCCAAAATAAAAAACTGAAACATTGATTTTAAAGTTCAGAAGACAGGATTGCATCATCTAACCTATTTACTAAGCAAGAAGAAGAAATTAAACTTTAAACCAGTTGCTTCCGGTTCATGATCATGGTCACTTGGTCAATTAGTAAAACAAGTTTCTTGTTCATCGTAGATTTCTGAACTCTTAAGCGACTTGATGTCGTCCAGCTAATTTGAAGAAACATCGGCCATAATTTATTATTTCTCTGTTGAGCACGAAACAAGTTTTCTTGGTCAGAAGTTAAAAAAAAATTGAAAAGATAAACGTGACGAGGCAATGGCTGATCATGTAGGCGTATAATATTGTTTACAAACGCGTAGAACCATCCGTACCCTCTCATGAAGACAAATATACATATTCTGCACTTGCCATTTGGAAGTAAATTATAAATTAGTCCCTCTAGTTGTAAGAAATAAATAAATTAATTAGTTTTTTTTTAAAAAAAAAAACTAATTATGTAGTTCTTTTCATTAATTTTATGTTTTTTTTCTAAATTTTTTTAATATAAAAAATAAAATTAATAGATATTATAAAAAGAATGATAAGAAAAAAAGATATTTTACGCTTGCAGTGATAAAATAATTAGTCTTTGAAATAAGAAAAACTAATCATTTTAAAAAAAAAAAACTAGAAGGACTGATTTATAATTTGGTCCTGCACTTGGGTTAATAGGGCACTATGACGAAATTATTCTCTAGTCTTTAGGTTTTCATTTTTTTTATATTTTAGTCCTTCATGTTTGAAAACTTAAAGTTAGTCCCTTGACTATTGTTGACCGTGGCCCTGTTACAACATATGTTGGTTTTCTCTTGATCCTTAACGTACCATTTAACAAATTAAATTTTTATAGATAAGCCAACATAATGAGAGTTTAGGGGAAAAAAAAAACAAAAAACAATCCTTACCTTTTTATCAAGACAAATGAATTAATTAGTTTTTAAAAAAAAACTAATTATTTAATCCTTTTTGTCAATTTTATCTTTTTCCCAACTTTTTTTTAAAATAGAAAAAAAATTAATAGATGTTATGAAAAAGATTGATGAGCAGAGAAGAAATTTTTTGAAATAAAATTATTAAATTAAATATAATCGACTCAGATCAAATCATTAAATAATTTATTTATTTTTAAAACTATATGGACTAATTGATAATTTTACTCCTACACTCGGCGTTCCAGCCTAATTATTCTATTATCTATAGATTAGTAGAGCGCTAAGACAAAATTATTCTCTAGTCCTTGGGTTTTCAATGCTATTATATTTTAGTCTTTGATGTTTAAAAACCTATTAGATTAGTCTCTCAACTCCGATTGAACATTGTCTTATTGCAACATATGTTAGTTTTTTCTTAATCCCTAACGTACCATTTAACAATTTAAATTCTTAAAGAAAAGCCAACATAGTGAGAGTTTAGAAAAAAATAAATAAATAAGTTAATGTCTTTAAAAGATGACGATTAACAAAAGTTACAAAACTAACTTATAATTTTCAAACATGAGGATTAAGTTACACCTACATACATAAACCAAGGACTAAAGAATAATCCAGTCTAGGATTATTGAATCAGTAGTGTAAAGGGATTAAAAGATTAAGTTACACCTACTCTTGAATTTTGATTACTCTTTTTCTCATGGCTCCTGTTTTTATTGCCTTTATCAGTTTGTGCAGTCTTTTTCAAACTAGAGAAGAAAAGTTCGAGGCTTTATCTTTTTCACTTAAGGGTCGAGTAGATGGAGTTGTTTGGTCCAAATTTTTCTAAATATAAATGACATTTCTAAATTCAATCTTAATACACAAATGACATTTCTAAATATAAATATTATATAATAACAATGTTCTTATATAATATTTAATTTTTCTCGTATGTTTTTAGGTTTCTAATTGCACTTTATTTGTTTTTAAAAAATATTTGAAATGTTCTATTTACCTTTCTAATAAAATTTTCAGCCCAAATGATATTTTTTTCAACTGAAATATCTCTTATTGAAATTAAAAAAAAAATCTAAAAACTTCAAAAATAAAACATGTAGATCATGTGATTTTAAGTGTTTTTTTATTTTATTCACATTTTAGTAAAAAAAAAAATCGAGTCAAAAAATTTGATCGAAAGAACAGATTAAGCATTTCAATTTTTTTTAAAATAGATGGGATGTAATTAAAAATTAAATATATATATATATATAGAAACAAACGAGTATATATAACCTAATAACAAACCAAAAAGAAAAAGGCCTAACCATAAACCTTTAAGGATAAGGTAGTTGAATTGCCTACTTCGTGCAATCTTCTGGGCTACATAAATAAACCAAAAAAAAAAAAAAGTTCGGTATCTTTTAATTTATTATAGCATGAGCTGCACGACATTAAGAAATCAAGTGGACAGAAACCTCAGGCAACTTGGTTATGCTTTGTGCTCTCTGACACTGTGGATTCCCAACTCAGATTAAGCTTGTGGTTCCTGATTGATTCCTTTCACTATAATTTTAGTGGTCTAGTAAATTAATCCAATAATTGTACTTGTGATCGGAAAATCAGTGTTGATTTTCAGAAAGTTGGTGGACAATGTCATGGCAACCAACTTCAAAGCCCATATCTGCATAAAGGAAATTTCCATTTTAGTCTCATATGATGTTACCATTATCCAAATTCATAAGCACAATGACTTATAGGTTCAATTGTTTGATTTCTTTTAGGTTCAACCCTAAACTAGTAAAAAGGAAAGAAAGTTGGGAGATTGATTTATTAATCTCCAAACGTGATCGATTGTCTTAGTGGGGTGGCACTAAACTCAAATGGAACCTCACTAAGAAGTTTGTTTAGAGGGAAGTGAGCTAAGAAGCCTTTGGAAGGAAGTGCACCTGTTCATATGAAACTATCCAAATCTCCACACCTTGCCATGTGTCATGGCATATCTAAATTAGGTTTTAACGAAAATAAAAAAATTCTTACGTAGCAAGTTTTTATTGGTTAGAGCTTGTCATATGTGCTTACACGGCATATTAGGATCTAAAACAATAACAACATATTATAAGAATAGAATTTTTAAATTGGACAAAAAAAATTTAAAGTCTCAATAAAAAAATTCAAATTGCACGGGATCTCGATATGCTTAAAACTCATCTTTTTAGTAAGATTTTTAGTCCAAACCACCTAAATTAGTCATATGAATTGCCTAACTTATAAGGAAATTTTGAAAATAAAAAATAATCATATGCAAATCTACTTGACCAATTCGGATGGTTTGTCTTGAAATGCTTATTGGAAAAATATATTACAAACTTAATGTATATTAGAGGATAAAATTAACTCAATTAAAATATAAAGATAAATTAAATTATTATCTTATTATTTAAGCACAAATTGAACTATTAACCCTAAAAAAAGAAGGCGGCAAGCATGGTTTTTTTAGGCAAATTAAATAGAAATGTAATCTAATAAAGGTCAACATTGTTTTTTGAAAAATAATCTGATATGTTATTATATAATGAAATGAGTTTTTAATATATTTTTATATCTTAAAATGAGTTAATTATATTCATGTTATTTAAGTGAGTTTTTAATCTTTTTTTAATCAATTTTTTTGATAAAATTATCTTAAAATATCATATGACTTGCATACGATCTTTTTTCAATAAAAAGATAACCCCTCAAGCCACTTTTTTTTTTTTTTCTTGCTCTTCCTCCTCTCTCCATCATGAAATTAACTTATTTAACTTTACTTATTGTGTGCGGACTAATTGAATGGAAGTTACTTGTTAGGTTGTAATGGCTGCAATTTAACCAAATTATTTGAACATGAGATAAATTATTTTGTACAAGTCCATTAAAAAAAAAATGCCAAATAAGGCTTCAGCTTCTTCTTCTTTTAAAAAAATTATAAATTAGTCTTTCTAGTTTTGCAAAATGAATTAAACAATCTTCATGTTTTAAGAACTAATTAATTAGTTTCTTAACCAGTATTAATCATAATTATGTTTCAAAAAATATCTTATTTTTATTGTTAATCTTTTCATATTTCTTTACTTATCTTATATCTTTATATTTATTAAAAAATTGAAAAATAATGAAAATTATTAAGTTACAAATAGATTTAAAAATATAGGGACTAGTATAATTATCTATTGAAACTAGAGAGACTATTCATTTCATTTTGAAAAAACTAAAGGGAGTAATTATAATTTACTCTCGTTTCCTCTCTTTTTCTCCTTGATGGGCTTTATTTTAGATGGTTGAGAGTAGATCCTCGAGCAAGCCTTTTGTTTATGGTTTTTGGTACCCATAGTATTTCGTATTCTATAGACCTATTGTAGTATTGAAAAACAATGCTTGAATTTGACTTAATCCCATATTTGGATTTAATAACAATATATGCATGAATTCGAAATTAATTTCCCACCAAAATTTCGTAAGAATTTTGAACGATGTTTATGAAATTCTAACAAAGAATTAGTCAACTAGCTTGTTTTAATTAGGTCATAATAATTAGAAATAATCCCAACGTACTTATCTTCATAATGAGTTGGAGTCAACTTCCAAATGCTTAACCTTTGTTTCATCTCTTTTCCGGCCGCCATCTTGCTTGGCTGCCACCAGCAACATCAAAGTTTAAATATCAATTCCGAATTTTTCATCATATCAAGTAGTGATTATTACATAATTATAGCATATGATGTAAATTTTTCAATTTTTGATGAAAATAAATTATTGAAAATCATTGTCAATGTATATCTACGAATTATATAATAGGAACAGCAATTTGATCCAACTTAGCAAAACATGGCCCGATGGATTTAAAGAAAACTTATAGTGGTGATATATAATAATTATCTTAAAAGAATTATATACGTAATTAAGTCTTGCGATAGTTTATCTTATTCTTTCACAATTCTATAATTATTATCATTTTTATTCTTCATGTTTATTTCTTTATTTCTTTTCACAACGCTCAAAATGATAAATAAATATATACTTTTTTAATAGAAACAAGCTATTTCACACTTAAAGGAGTTCTCTAAAAACCGCTTGTCAGAATTTACAAAATGTACAAATACTATTTTCACAAACGATGCTTGATTTGTTGAATGATTTCTTAGGAAATCACACAAACGAGAGACAATAATTGTGTTCTAACAAAACTCAAGTTTTGGAATCTTCTTTTTTCTATATCTCATTAATTTTTTTTAAAATCAGAATTAATTTAAACAAAATAAACTTTAGTCGTTTAAATAAATAGTTTTTATTACGAGTTTTTTATAATTTTTATATGTAAAAAACTTTTTTGATTATCTGTATTCATTTTGTATATATAATTAACTAACGAAAGATTAGTCTGAATTTTTTACTTTGAGAATAAAATTAAAAAAATTATTTTCCATTTAAAAAATCCTTTCACATGGCGATAACCAATTAAGAAATGATTGTATTTGCCATAGAACACGATGAGTCACCATTTGATTTGTTTTTAATAAATCTCTCATATGTTGTGATATCTATACAAGATATATCAACAGATTCATGTCCATAGTTTTATTAATGGGATAATAAAAAATATATAAAAAATTCATATAAATAAATTAACTAATTTATCAGTCATTTAGTCAATTTATTGACAACAATATCAATAAATCTATTGACATATCCCACGAAAATAATATATCACCGTAAAAACTGCAACATTAAATATTATACATTATCGTAAATATAAATATTTAAAAATGCATGTATGTCATAAATAAATAAATTTATATTTTATTTTAGGAAGAATTTATGCCTATAAATAGCCTGATGATCTCCAAACCAAGATCCATGATTCCCAAAAAGAAGACAATAAGTCCTCATTACCATCAAGCCGGAAAACACTGACCCTGAAACAACAAACCCAATCATCATCATTCTCACCAACAATCCAATCAAAATCTCCAAAACCTCCATTTCTCCAACGTCATATCACTCCCATATATCCCTCGTGATCCCTTCAAAAAAGTAGTCCGCATTTCACTGTTCTTCCTTTCTTTCTCAACTTGCACCCCTTTCTGGAACTCTCTCCGGAAAGGTGGAAAGGGCAGTGATCGATCTTTTTTATGGTTAAAGCTCAAAAGGGTTACTGTAATTGATAGCATGGGAGGTCATGGTGATCATCGTAGAGAGAGAAACAAGAAAGAATCTGATGATGATGAAGAAGAAACGGAATATGAAGTGCAAGATTTGAGGGATAAAATAAAATCGTCAAGAGGGAGTCGATTTAATTTGATAGAGAATGAGCTTGGACTCGTTAATAATACTAATGAGTCGTCGTTGATGACAAGTTGGAGAAGAAAACTGAGTCGTGAATCGGTTGTTAATGGTCTTCGTTACGTCTCCACAGGTCTCGTTATCCATCCTGATAACAGGTCAGCCATTCGTTATTGCCTCTCCTTAAGATCTAATTTTCTGTAATTAGATTTATTTATTTATTTATTATTATTTTTTAAAAACATTTCCATTGAGTTATGAATGCTGTCTGACTCGTTTAAACTGTCCAATCATTTTTTTTCCTTATTTTGGTAAACTATAAAATTTACTAAATACGAAACTAAAATTTTCCACGAAAATAATTAGATGAAATGACTCAGTTTGTTCTAACGAAATAAGGAAAAAAAATTTAATTAATTAATTAATTAAATTTAATATTATTTTATTTCATAAAAACATTTTTTTCGTTAATTTGTCTATATTATTTATTTGTTTATTTTTTTCCATTTTTTAAAATAAAATAATTTGACATAGAATATAAAATGAACGGAAGAGCCTTAATAATTAACTTCTGAAATGAAAAGACTATTTATTTATTTTACAAAATTAAAGGGACTAATTCATAATTTAATTTACTTTGATTAGAATATGGAAAATTGAATTTGTTATTAGCATACTGCTTTCACAGGTTGGCAATGCCGTCATTCCCGCTACGGTTATACACGTGGCGGTCTTCATAGCGGTAGAAGTGTCGTTGAATTTGACTTATGATTAGGATGGTTACTTTATCTGATGGTTACTTATCTGACGGCTAGAAATGTCCAGATGAATGGGCAGATTTTAGTGATAGAGAAGACAACGTATAGTAATTAATTTGTTTTATTTATTCGGCCGATTCACGTTTTGGGTCCCACTTATTTGAATGTGGCAGCGGCGGGCGGTACGGTGACCGTGGTGGGGTCAGTAGTGCTGTGATCTACCATACGTAATATATATAATCTTTTTTTGACTTTTAGAATAATTCTTACACGCTTTGAGTCACCATATTGCAGTAACTTCAGTTAACTTTTCTTTGAGGTCAACAAATCTTGACTTTTGATGATCAATGTGAGTTTAGTGGGAACGTTAACATGACGCTATGTTTTTTTTTTTTTTTTTTTTTTACATTGTTGCGAGATTATAAGTAATAATTACAAGAATTAGAGTTTTAATGCTTGTTATATAATTATGCAATAATCAGATATTCATTTCTTGAAAAAAAAAAACATATAATCATATTCCGTCGTTTAAAAATTCGTCGAGTTTGATTGTAGATTTTGAAGTAAGGTTTATAAAGAATAAAGTCAATTATTATGAAATTGTAAAAATGTTAAAAAAGTTTTTTTTTTTTTTTTTTGGGGGATATTATAATTTACTTAAGTTGATGACGATGGTTTAATATTATATGCATATATATTTATTTTCTTTGTTCAGCAAAGACAAGGAAGGAGTTGAAAACCAAACACACGTATCACATGGGATTATTTAGGAAGGCGTAGGTAGCCTACCTGCCGTTGATTTCAATTGGAGCATCTTGCCTGTCCAGATGTTTCAGTATGACAACAAATTATAAAAGATAAATCAAACAAAAACATGGTATCTGCACGTTGTCGGGGGTAAATTTATATAATATACTTTAACATCTTAAATAATATAGGATTTTTTTTAATTTATCATAAATTATGTGATATTTAATAAAATATTTATATTCTATAATTGAGGTTAAATATATCATATAAGTATGTTTGATTTTGATCAATAAAAAAATTCAATTAATTATTTATTTTTTAAGAAATCAAATTATAAGTGGGTGTTAAATCAATTTATATTATAAGAATGTTTAATTCTAGTTAAAGAGTCTATAAAAGAATTTTTAAAAAAACCATTAATTATTTAGAAAAAATATTTTGAGCAAATAATAAATAATGAAAAAAAGTTAAAGCAAATAGAAATTTAAAAAAGGACTTTTTTGTAACCATAAAAATAAAAAGGACCTTTATCTAACCTAAATTAAATTTAGAAGCTATTTTGTATAAAATTAAAACTCTAAGGAGCAAACTGTAAAACACTGAAAAAAAGTCCAGCAAAATCGCTTATTTTCTAGTAAAACTAAGTCGTTTCGATTCAAAATATCGTTTACTTGAAACTACACACACACCCACCTATAGATATATTTTTTCAGTATATGTATAATGTAGGTAATCTGGTGATGACTTGGGTTCCTTCTGGTTGGTTTGTCATGGAGGGTGGATTGCGAACGTTAGTTTGAGAAGAGTGGTAGCAGTAGGTGAGCCTGTCACGACTGTCGTATTTCGGCTGTCCGTGCCCCACCCGTACTGGTAGGTTACACCGTGCGTGTCGGTCATGGACTGCCAAGATGGGGCAGTCGGAACAAGCCCAAAGTGGCCCTAGTACCAGCCTTGGTTTGATGCATTGCCATGCCTTTGTTCTTTTTTTAATAAACAGCATAGTTGTTTTATTTGATTTTACTGTCTTTGTTGTTTTACTTCTTTTCATCCCAGTATATCAAGATATATTTCCAGTTTGTTGTTGGTCAGGATAAGAAGCACATTGCTAATTGCGTTTATGTGCAAAATCAAATGCAACCTTAACTTAAATTACAGTAAAGATATGCAAAACGAATGATATATTCCATGTTAAATCTAATCTAGGTTTCTTCTTCTTTTTTCAAATTTAAATACAAAATAAAAACAAATCTTTGACTTGTAATTTTTTATTCTTACGGAACAAAAATGATGCATTGCAGTCGAAATAATGCAGGTGGTATCGTGCATGGACAAAATTTATACTATTATGGGCAGTCTACTCTTCCTTTTTCACACCAATGGAGTTTGGTTTCTTCAGGGGGTTACCTGAGAACCTCTTCATACTGGACATAGTTGGACAGGTTGCTTTCCTTCTCGACATCGTTTTACAGTTCTTCATTGCCTACAGAGACAGTCAGACTTATCGTATGGTCTATAAGCGTACTCCTATTGCTCTTCGGTCAGTTCTCTCTTCACATATTTACTTAGGCAGGCAAATTATCTAGGCTTGCTTTTAGGTTGAATGATGTTCAGTGGAATTCATTAATGTTCACTGCCTAAGTAGATATAAGTCTTAGTAGTTTTCTTGCATGTTTTGGTAAATTTTGTCACTTATTCTTGTTTTTCTATCTTTGTTCAGGTATTTGAAATCTCATTTTATCATTGATTTTCTTGGTTGCTTGCCTTGGGACATCATCTACAAGGTATTTGCTGCGTTAGAAGCAGAATTATAACATTTTGTTCAATTACAGAATGAAACTGGAGTGAACAAAAAACGTGTTATTTATCATCTGAACGTTTATATCATGTTACAGTGTTAGTCGGGTCTAGGTCTCATCATCATTTTGGTATTTTTCTTTAATACAGGCTTCTGGACATAAAGAAGAAGTGAGGTATCTTTTATGGATTAGGCTCAGTAGGGTGCGGAAAGTGACTGAATTTTTCCACAAGATGGAGAAGGATATACGAATTAATTACCTCTTTACAAGGATTATAAAGCTTATAGCAGTAGAACTCTACTGCACACACACAGCAGCCTGCATCTTCTATTATTTGGCTACCACTCTCCCATCGTCTAACGAAGGGTATACATGGATTGGAAGTTTAAAGATGGGTGATTATAGTTATACAAACTTCAGGGAGATCGATATCTGGAAGCGTTACACAACATCTTTATATTTTGCTGTCATCACTATGGCCACAGTTGGTGAGTTACTTCTTTGCATTAGACTCTATTTAACACAACTTGAAGCATTTTGGTTTCCTCATCTTTGTTTATATAATATATGATTGGCCAATTTACGTGGATTATTTCTGCATTTGAACTTTCACTTTCCTTAATAAAGAGTAAATAAATATTTAGTCAGAAAAAAAAATTAAGGATAAAGTCTTGAGACTCTTGACTTCGGGGGTCAAACAGAAGTGACTGGGAATATGCTATTCGTGCTATTTCAGAACGCTACTGGAATGCCATAATCATTAATGTTCTTGCTTGATTTTACACCACTTCGTTGTTTTTTTTTTTTTTACATTCACCAGTAAATGGAGAAGGTTTCAGTTAAGTTTGTAATATTTTCACACTTACAATGTTTGAAGAGTCTTTCTTGCTGTATACCTATGTTTTGCTGGAGTCTTCCGTACTGTCTAATATGTCTGCTCCTTTTGCCACAGGATATGGAGATATACATGCTGTTAACTTGAGGGAAATGATATTTGTAATGATCTATGTGTCATTTGACATGATTCTCGGTGCTTACTTGATCGGTAATATGACAGCATTAATAGTAAAAGGTTCGAAGACAGAAAAGTTCAGGGATAAAATGACAGATCTCATCAAATATATGAACAGAAATGGACTTGGAAAGGACATCCGTAATCAGATCAAAGGCCATGTGCGCTTACAGTATGAGAGTAGCTATACTGAGGCTTCTGCTCTGCAGGATCTTCCCATCTCTATTCGTGCTAAGGTAAAGAATATGTCAAGAGGGTATTCCTTCCTTTTCTTTTTAAGCTTTTTTATATTATTGGATTTTGTGGGTACAAACTTTGAGCTTTAGGAGAAAAGAGGAGTCCAAAAAATGATTAGGCGATATTTCAAGCTAAGTGGGAAAGCAAAGCATAGTTATCCCTTTAATCCCCATATTAATTTGGAGAACCTTCTATTCCTTTGGATAATGTATCATTTAGTTTGGTCAAAGAGCCACACCAAACCAATAATTATTTGTCACTAATAATTGTCAGAAAGATAAGGAGCCTGCATCATTTTCTTCTACAGCTTGTCTCCATTTGTAACACTACCTTTCGATACACAATATTTGCTATACTTTTTGACTCATAGCTCTAATGAAATCTGTCTTGACTTTTAAGAAAAACATGAGTTTGTGAAGAACAAATTCATTTTATAATGCTTAGGTTGCCTGATTGGTGCTGAAATAAATGTTCATATTTGTATAATTTGTTTTGGAAATAAGTGCAAGTTTTTGACATTTAGTCATGTCTGTGGATTGTTGAATCACTGTGCCTATGGTTCCTCTCTTCTGAGCCCTTTAGAGTTTGTCCAGAGATTTGAAGCTTATAATAATTTGTTGATTATTCTTTGCAGATTTCCCAAACTTTGTACACAGAATATATCAAAAAGGTTCCCTTACTTCAGGGTTGCTCTGCAGAATTTATTAATCAAATTGTAAGTCTTTTTTTTTTTTTTTTGTTATATTATATTCCACTGATGATAATAAGTTTGAAAATTAGGAAAGTCCCGAATGGTTCAGCAACAATAAAATAGCAAAGGGGAAAATGCTACATCTTGTTTAGGTGAAATCATGGATTTCATTGCCAATCACTGCTGCAAGTTAATGATCCAATTAAATGTTGACATCATTGATGTCAAAATCTGTACTAGGCTCGGGGTTTGTTGACTTCAATTGACATATTTCTGAAAAAAAGGCAAATAGAAATGTGTGTGCGAATATGCGAGAAAAAGCATTTCGAGAGACTACCTTGCCAGAAAACATGGCTTTTATTATTGGTGTTGATAAATGGTCTCTTACCATCAAGGGCCAAAAACATTGGTACATAAGGTTAGATAGTGAAATAGGATATTGATTTATGTAGTTGTGAAAATTAAATGCAATTTTGATCACATGATGGAGTTGGTTATTTTTTCCACCACTGTTTTCTTAAGTTCCTGGTATTCTATGTTGTCCTCTTTTATAGTCTCTATCAATTTCCTTTTGAATCTTCCTCTTGTTTCTTTTAGTGCCCTTTTGCTTCAAACTGGTCAAATATTCTGCACCAGTGCATTGCTTGGTCTACCTTGCTCACATACAAATACTTGTTCTCTCTCTGTCTTCAATTGTGATACAACAAAATTCTTTTATATATTCTCCTTGTTGTACACTTTGTTGCAATACTACTTATTCATTGTAGGAGCCACACCTCTTCTATTCTCATTTTTCGTTTTCTTTTGTTCTTGCAGGTCATTAAGCTTCATGAGGAGTTTTTCCTTCCAGGAGAAGTAATTATGGAACATGGGAACGTGGTAGATCAACTTTATTTTGTCTGTCATGGTGTGCTGGTACGATTCCATATCCAACAGTCACTGAGTTTCAATATTTGGTTGTTTGTATTTCTTATCAATATTTTTCTTAATTTTTCTTTGCTTCACCTGTTTTGTTGGTTTTTAAAATCAGCATGGAGAACATATTTGTGACGTTATAATGCAAAAACTGCAATTTTTTTCATTATTGATTCTGCCTGTTTGTTGATTGATAATGTTCTGAACTATGATACATTAAAGTGATTTCACTGTTGGTGGGGCTTTCTTATATAGCCTCTCAATGACTAAGAAGGTGATAACTTTATAGATGTATGCTGATATGTCTAAATTTGGCTATTGGATCAACTTCCTTTTCTTAGAATCCTGGGGGTTCAAAAATTTTCATTTTTCAGTGGTTTGCATAGGATGCATATCTTCATGTTTTCAATACATCTATTTTCATTATAAGTGTATGATCACTTCCTTTTTTCTTCTGGGTGCAGGAAGAGGTTGGGATAGGGCAGGATGGATCAGAAGAAACTGTCAAACTTTTGCAACGTAACAGCTCATTCGGAGAAATTTCTATTCTTTGTAACATTCCCCAGCCTTATAAAGTTAGAGTTTGTGAATTATGTCGGCTTCTACGGATTGATAAACAATCTTTCTCAAATATACTTGAGATTTACTTTTATGACGGGCGCAAAATTTTGGACAATATTTTAGAGGTAATTCAACTCTGTCAATATGCACTTTCTTCAAACTCATGTTCATGCTTTATTTTTTATTTTTTTCTTTCACATCATTTTGTATCAGTATCAGATTATTTATATAGCCAGTTTGCAATTTATTGAACAAATTATTCTAGATATATACTTGGCATAAAGGGATTATTTACATGTCCATTAAGTCTAAATCAAGAAAAATTGACAGGGGAAGGAATCCAATCTTCAAGACAAGCAGTTGGAATCGGATATTACATTTCATATTGGAAAGCAAGAAGCTGAACTTGCTTTGAGGGTGAATAGTGCTGCTTATCATGGAGATGTTTATCAGCTGAAGGACTTTATCCGAGCAGGTGCTGATCCCAATCGAACAGATTATGATGGAAGATCACCCTTGGTATGCAACATGCTGATCAAGTATATGATTGATCTCATTTTTGTGATGTCTAAATTATCAAAAGAACACATTTCACGTGGCTTAATTCTGGGGATGGATGTGCTTTAATCCCATATTTTTTGCAATATGATTGCAAAATTGTGCGTGTTTTTTTTTTTAAAAATTTAATTTTACTTCTAAGCTATTTCCTCCATTATTTGAGCAAATTTACATTTCATGAAGGTAGATTAATTGGATGAAAGAATTGCTGTATCTGACAATAGCCTTTGTTTCCAACAGCATCTTGCAGCATCTAGAGGTTATGAAGACGTCACCCTTTTCCTTATTAAGGAAGGAGTTGATATTAACATCAAAGGTAATTTGCTTATATTAGTGATTAACTGGTTGTAAAACTTCTGTCAGTGATTTGATGTCTTTAATGAAAATTTGGTGATTTATAATATTACATTTTTCTTTTACAGATAAATTTGGAAACACACCCTTGTTGGAAGCCATCAGGAATGGACATGATCGAGTTGCATCTTTACTTTTTAAACAAGGGGCCATGTTGAACATTGATGATGCTGGTAGTGTTCTGTGTAGAGCCGTTGTAAGAGGGGATTCAGATTTTCTTAAAAGGATTTTGTCCAACGGAATTGATCCCAACTCTAAAGACTATGATCACCGAACTCCACTTCACGTGGCTGCTTCAGATGGATTATATTTGATGGCAAAGTTGCTGACAGAAGCTGGAGCTAGTGTTTTCTCAAAGGACAGGTAGGCGTAATGTTCATTTTGCTCATTCTTAACTAGATCTGCTTGTATATCATTGATCTACTTTGAGGGCTAATCAGATACGAATTAGGCTCACTTTATTAATTTAGGATATGTTGTTCCTGGTAGCTAGGCTTATTGATGTATGAATAATGCAAAATCTCATGTGACCTGAAAGTAGAAGGGCGAGGAAAGGAGAACTTTGCAAATTATAATCAATGGATTCTTTTATTAAAGGTCTTTCAGCCTTTTCTTTTCTCTCCCGTCCTCTCTAGGACCCAAATAGTGGCAAACAGAGCAGTGAATTTGACGTACAATGTTACAATTATATACACTCTTGATAAGTTATCATGATTTTTAGATGAGTACATTTTCTGATTCCCATGCTTTTCTTTGCCTATTTCATCTCCATAGATGGGGCAACACTCCACTTGATGAAGGCCGGATGTGTGGGAACAAGAATTTGATCAAGCTGCTAGAAGAAGCAAAATCTTCTCAGAAATCGGAAATGAACCATTATGGCTCCCATGAAACCACAGGTATTCCCAATACTCTATGGCCAGTGTCTATTATGCTCTAATAAACTGAAATTTTCCTGAATAATATGATCCCAAAGCTGAAAAAATGGCTTCCCAACAAATTGTGAGAAATGATCTATTAGAGAATCATAAAGAAGAATAATTCATATGGATACAAATGGTCTAATGGGAGCAAGAATTTCCAGGAACATTTCATTTCTGAGAAGTAGAGCTGTTTTCTCTTTCGAGTAGTATTCAGTTGATTATGTATCAATCAATATAATGATTCCTCTGCCATTACAGCCTTTACCACAACAATGCTGTCCCTAAATCAAATTACTTTGTGAGTTGGATTTCACTTGACTGTCTATGGTAACTCAATGCTCCATTGCGTTATTGATCTAATACTAAATTTAAGAACAGCCTGTGGGGAAAAGGTCTAGTCGAAAATCATAAGAAGAATAATTGTTGAATTTAGGGAAGGGAGCTATTTGTAATGGTTTGGCCTGCACAAGGTTGTCGTGCTTATTTTATGTAGATGAACTGGATGATTTATCCAATCGTATCTTGATTCCGTAGTTGGCCAATCGAAAATGTCTGATGTAAAACAGGGTTGTTCTATGTGAACCCTGTCTTCTATTCGGGTCCAATAACTCATTATTGAGATGTAGCTGAATGAAGCAATCGTTGGTGATTGATCTAGCAACTAGACATCTGAGATGCCTATCACAAAGAAGAGATGGGCATCTTTTATTGTAAATGCTTGAATCTAGATGCCTGAGAACAAGATATATGTTTCTGTCTTAGCGAAGTTAACAACTGCTGTTGCCAATTACAGAAAAAATACTCGCAAAGAAATGTACCATTTTCCCTTTCCATCCATGGGGTCCGGAAGAAGAGAGAAGACCTGGAATAGTGTTATGGGTCCCACACACCATTGAAGAGCTTGTAAAAGCAGCATCAGAGCAGCTACAGTTTCCGGATGGTTCTTGTATATTATCAGAAGATGCAGGTAAAATTCTTGATGTAACCATGATAGATGATGGCCAGAAGTTGTATCTAACCAGTGATCATACTCATACACATTAGTTATGAAGATTTCCAGTTCCACAGTTGTATAGTATTGTAGCCTAGTTTTGTATCATCATCTTTGTATCTGAGTTGCTTCTCCCTGCTGCGCAAGTCTACGTTTTCTAAATCTAAATAAATGTTTTTGCAAAGACATGCTTCAACAGAGTTCATTTGTTCCTCTTAGGTTTAGATCGTATAACATGGAAATGCCAACATTTTTCATTTTTTGGGTCTTTGGTGACATCTCTAATCAGCCTCAAAAATGTTCAAGAACACTATTACAAGTAAAACATGAGTGATCCAAGAGAAACTTGGCATTATACGAATGTTCAGGCTTGGTGCATTAAATAAATTTATTACAGGGATCCTTCAGTTGAAAGGAAGTTTTTCAACATGACTAGCCATATGCATCAACTTTCTTACCCTTCAACACCCTAGTAGTTATCTCCAGCCCTAATCTGGTAGCTATAAGAAACACAAACTGGCACAAAAGTGTTTGAAATACAAAGTTGAACACTTGATACACTGTCAAACTATCGTCAACAAGGTTGATCGGAGCTAGAACAATCCGATTAAGCTCCGGGGATGTGTTGAACTTGCCGGAAATGCTTCTGGGCTGCTCTGTTACAAGCAGCTGCTTGATGATCATTTACCTCATCGGTCAACAAAGAAGTATCACTAGTGACTGTTGCAGTTGCTGAAGTTGAGTCATAAGCTGTGAAAAGGTGAAAAAGAGTTCCTACTAAACACCCCAGAAGGGGAATAGAGGAACATACTTCTATGGCTTGTCTGAGATTCATAGCTTATGTTTTTATTTTTCTGATCAGAAAAGTCTTTTCTGATCCAAGTTGATGACTAGAATAGCAAGAAAGACTTGGAATTTTTCGTTGTTTTTGAGGATGAAAGACTTGTGGAATTGAGAAGCTAGGATGTTGGAATTTATGGTGAAGGTTTTCGTGGTCCAACGCGTGGATATCAAGTCAAGGAATACATGCAATATTCCTGCAAAAATGTGAAGCCCACACAAACTGACTAGGTGGAAATTTAATGAGAAAACACATGACTTGACCTCCATACCACAGGAAGTTCCATAATTTTCATAGGATGATCACGTAGCAAGCTCCCATTTGTTGCTTTTTACCTGCTAATTCTTTTCGTTGGATGCTAATTACTTTTTTAATGACTTAGTTAGAATGGTGGGTGAAATAAAAAAAGGTAATTAATGTTCTAAAAGATAGACACTAAATATCCTACTTTTGCATCATAAATTTCTTGACAATTTGTATGGTCATGAACTTTGATCCTTTGTTTTTGTTTCTGCTTTTTGTTTTTTTTTTCCTTTTGCTTTGATTATTTTACCAAGAATTGAATGTGACTTCCTCTAATATGATTTACCCTTTTGGGATTTTCACATGATCCTTGTAAAGCCACGTCTTTTTTGTCAGTCCATTTCAATCTAAGTATGGTGTTTAGATGATGACCGCACAATTTATTATTTTTTAATTTGGAATAAACTTTAGCTTACATATCACAATAAAATATTGATAATAATTGTTTGCAAAATTAAATAACAATCTTCATTCTTTTGATCTTCATGAGTTGTTGCGTGATTATTATGCATTAGATGTATGATAATCACATAAAAAAAATTGTGATAAATACTTAATTACTAATCTAAACAAGTAACTTCGTGATATTATAATTTTCCATACCGAGTTGAATAGAACGAAAAAACTAAAAAAATTTTTATTTAGTGGTAGTGATCTTTTTATGTTTACAAAAGTTATGAATTTATTTATTTATTTTTTTTAGAGTATTTAAATTTAAAAATAAGTCTTGTTATAAGAAAAACTTTTTATTTTTGTATTAATGGTCAATGCAATCCATTGTGATAATACGATCTTTCATGCCTAATAAGTCTCATTATTTTTGTATGAACTTTTTAATTTTTTGTCCCGTTAATTACTAATTATTAATACTAATTATCTCACGCCTGATATGAGTGTAGATGATAGAATCTTATTTATGATAAAAAATAATAATAATAATAAATAATAAATAAACAAAGTAAGATAGAACTCGAAAGAAGAAACTTACTTCCGATTCCCAAAGTTTCGGCCCATTATTTCTTGGGCTCCTGGCCCATCACCAAAACAATTTGTAGCTGAAGACATTGTGCTGGACTTGTCAGCATAAGATTCTCACCATCTCTAACTACTATAACCGTCAAATCCAAAGTTGCCGCCCATTGTGTAGTGGGCTTGTGGCCCATCACGAAAACAATACTGAGCTCAAGACGTCATCCAGCCGCCGCATCTCTAACTACCTTAACCGTCAAATCTATATCTGACAGCACAAATGAATCCTTAATCCATTGCTCATCTCACAGCCGTCTGATCTCTAACAAACAAAGCGCCAAATGACAATAATACCCCCAAATTCTAAAAAAGTCCAAATCATAAAGCCAACATAAATACCTTCCTGAAAGAGGGCATTATCGAACACAAAAACCATTTCAGAAAATTCAGTGGGAAATGGAAGCAATCAACGGTACAGATAAACTCTCAATCCATTACCCATCTCATACCAGCCGTCTGATCTCTAACAAACCCAACCTAATATGACCATAATACCCCCAGTCTCAACACACCTCAAAAATCCCAAGAGGAAATATCTCCCCTCATCAAGGGCATTATCGTCAGTATATTACATTTTTTTTAAATATCTAGCGGGAAATAACTAACACCCTCTTCCTTTCTGTTGAGAGAGTCTTTCTTTCTTTCCCTCTAATTTCTCTCTCTAATGCTCTTGTAGTGAGAGAAAGCTTCAAGAACCAAAAACATTACTAGAGAGAGAGAGAGAGAGAGCTAAAGTGGATTTTACTTGAAAATGTCAATACTAAACCTTGAAAATTGCAAGAAAAGGAAAAGATGGCCAAAACTCCACGATTTCAGCACATTTTGTGAACCGGATTGCCCCATTAGTCCTACTGGTCCGTTCCGCGACAACATTCGGGTTTTTCTTCAGCAATGTGCAGAACCTGAAGATTATAAAGTAGAGGGAATGTCAATTTGGTGTACTTTACTTGTTATTGAAAGTAAAAACTTTGCAGTTCCACTTTACATCATTGAAGAAGATGTTAAGAAGTCAGTTAGACCCTTTTGTGATCAGTGCAGATGCAACGGTAAAGTCTAATTATCTTGCTTTGTTTTTTGTTGGTTGTGTGATTTCTGAATTGGGTTTTTGCTGTTGTTTGTGAAATTGAGTATTTTGGGGGGTCAAGTTTGGTTCTTTGACTGAGTTTTTTAATGGGGTTTTGTCGTTTTTAGGTTTGGAATTTTGGGGTTTCAGAAATTCAGTGGTTTTGGGTTAAATTTGGAAATTTGATTTGTGCTTTTGGATTTTTGTGAAATTGAGTATGATGGGTTTTTTGTTGTTTTTGGATTTTTGGCTTGAGACAGTTGGGATCCTTTGATTGATGGGTAGCTTCATTTGGGGTTTTGGATCTTAATTTGGGGATTAGGGTTTTATTGCTATTCATTTTCTGCTGAATCTGATTCTATGCATCTTGATATGGCTAATTCTGACCTTGGTTTCTGTTGATTAATTTCTGGTTTCTTAAATGGGGTTTTTGGTGTTTATCTAGTTCTTCGGTTATGGTTATTGTGGTTTCCTGGGTAAAAATTCTTCTCTTTTTTATTTTGATTCATTGTCAATATGTGGTTTAGGTTGGAGTCATAATTTTGTTTCCAGAAGAAAGTATCATATAATAATACCTGTTGATAGTGAGTGGAGTCAGAAATTGGAGGATGGTGTTTGTGATCTCCAGACTCATCTTTTGCATGGGTTGATTCACTGTAATGGTTTTGGTCATTTGCTATGCATAAACGGGAAAGAAGGGGGTTCCAAGTATCTTTGTGGCAGGGAAATCATGGATCTTTGGGATCGCATCTGCAGAAATCTTCGAACTCGGTAATCACGATCCTCACTGAAGTTCATGGTTTTTTGGTTAATTTATGGCTTCATGGAATCTGATATTCTGAAATTTCCTCTTCTTTTGTAGGAAAATCACTGTTGAGGATGTATCAAAGAAGCGGTCCATGGACCTTCGTGTTCTTTATGGGGTTGCATATGGACATCCATGGTTTGGTAGATGGGGGTACAAGTTTTGCCATGGAAGCTTTGGTGTGACGGAGCTCATATATATCAGAGCAATTGAAATTCTAAGCGCTCTGGAACTTGAAAAGATCATTCAGGATTTCAGTGACACAAGCCAAAGTAAAAGCATGAAGCAGATAATTCAATACTATAGAGACTTGAGTCCAATCCAGCTGATCAAATTCAAAGATCTTCTTTGTTTCATGCTTGCCCTCAAATGCTGTCCCTGTGGACAGAAGAAACAAAGCGTGACTGCCACCGCCACTTCAAAGCCTCTTATCAATGTTGTATTCGGGAAAAAGCCACTTGTAAAGGAGAAATGCATGAAGTACAGAAATTTCAGTTCGTTGGTTGGTACAATGGATAGTAGATGGCCTACGAGAAGACTACAATATGCAGCTGATGTGATTGTGGATGCATTGAAAGCAAAGAAGGATGACAAACACTGTGAAGGAGGAATGACAAGACAAGATGTGAGAGATGAAGCTAGGATGCACATTGGTGATACTGGGTTGCTTGATTATGTTCTGAAATCAATGAACAATGTGGTTGTTGGAAAGTATGTTGTCCGTCGAGCAGTGAACCCAAAAACAAGGATTCTGGAATACTCGATTGACGAGCTTGGCGATGGGATTAGTCCCGTTGAGGCTAAACCAGAATCTGAAGCAGTTCCAGCACAGCCTCTTGTGCCTGGAGCTGATGTCAACGCTGATGTGGTCTATATATACGAGAATGTACTGTTTAACTACCCAGAATCAGAAATATTTGAAGTAGCAACTCAGGCAATTCTAGACAGCAAACATTTTGTGAAGGAGTGGCCTTTTAGGGATGAGAATGACCAGCTGTTGAATTTCACGTGCCAAGTGATGCCAAATTGGAATGATCTAGGAGCTAAATTCTATAGGAAAGTGCCTCCTGGTGAGATTCTCGTGCTTCCATTGCATGCTTCAGTGCTGGAACTAAAACAAGAAGCAGAAAGTGCATTGCGGGACATTTACTGCGTGCTTGAGAGATTTGTTGTGACAGAGATAGAGCATATGGAAGACCTACATGATAAGGACTTGTTGTGTGAATTTTTCGAATCCGGTGCAGAGATTTCCGTGAAAGGGTACGGCATGGATATAAATTCTCCGCTGAGGTATGAAGGTGGGCCAGATAACTGGAAGGTAAAATGTGAATGTGGGGCTTGTGATGATGATGGGGAGAGAATGGTGGAATGTGACATTTGTGAGGTGTGGCAACACACACGCTGCAATGGCATTGATGATGCCAATACAGTACCACAATTGTTTGTTTGTTCTGGATGCTGTGATTCTCTACAGCCAGTAAAAGCTAAAACTCACCAGCAATTTGAGAGTTCTGATGAATTGTTGATGATTCCGGCAGCAATTGGATACAGAGCAGAAGCTGCAGAAGCTTTTTACCAAGGTACAAATCCCTCTTTCCCTAGCTCTCTGAGTGTGCAATAGTTTGGTGGTATACAGATTATAATGGAACCATAAGATTAGTTTTGCATTTTGTTTTATTCCCAACTTAAAACTCGGGTGGAAATTAGAAACTGGGAAGAATCCTTATGCAAAAACTGTATTACAACTCTTATTTAGGCTCTCTGAATATGCAATAAATGTTTTTTACAGAAGAATATAGCAACATCACCTTAAAGAAATTGAATTCACAAGCTCCGGACTTCATTGGAAAATATAACCAAGAAGTGAAGAACTAAAAGTTGCTAAGACAGCTGAAGTTGTTTCCAATTCTGAATTCTCTGCCTTTCATTGATAAAACTGAGTATTTAAGCTTGGAACAGCCTCCAAGCATAGGAAAAAAACAAAGCATGAAAGTTTACACCTAGAAACATTGTCTGTCCATCTAGCTAAATTCGTAGGTCAGGCTGAAAAACTCTAATGCAACAGATTTTATAGAAAATCTGACATAATGTAATTTTCTGAGAAAATCAGCCAGTATTTGAGTCTAACGGGAAGATTTTATTGAAGAAAACTTGCCGTTTATTTACTAAGGAAGCATTCCTCACATGCGACCACGCAAGTTCCTGGCTGCTATCAGGTTAGTTTAAGACCTGCAGAATTTGAATGTCTCTTATAAATTCTCTACTGGAACAATGACTGAACTTTTTCTAATTCCCCCTTTGGTTTAGTTGCGTCTTTAGGTTTATCTTCAGCTCCTGCGTCAAATACATCATTTATCATCTTTGATGAAGTGGTAACCTTTTCCAGGAAAGCTTTGAGATTGTTATGCGAAGAACCTCCATCCTTCACAGCATCCAAAGCCGATCCACTCCACTTCTTAGCATTGCTCCTTATTTGCTGTCCGCCCTTCCCACTTCCCATCACCATCTCTAGACATCTCCTAATCTCTTCTGCTTCCACAATACCAACTTCATTCACTCTTGCTCTAACCCCATTCCTCCACACTTCTTCTATCATTCTTGCATTTGTTGTCTGATCAGCAAACTGTGGTAGCCCCACAACAGGAATGCCAGCCACTAGGCTCTCCATAGTTGAGTTCCATCCGCAGTGCATCATAAAACACCCCATGGACTCATGTGTAAGAACCTCCATCTGTGAACACCATGGAACTATCAACCCTTCTTCTTCATTCACTTTTTTCCTAATCATCTCTTCAAATTCTGCGTCTTTATTATCTGAAGGGCGGATTATCCACAAAAATGGCCTGCGAGTACCAATTAGGCCAAGCAACATCTCTTCCATTTGATTTTTTGGCAACACAACAATACTTCCGAATGAAACGTAAATAACTGACCTTTTTGGCTTTGAATTTAACCATTGAGTGTATTCTGTAGATTTTTCAAATAAGTCACATCCATAAGATGTGTCTGATTGGTGGTTTTTGTCTAAAACTGCAAATGGAATCAATGGTCCTATTGGGATTGGATTTATTTTACCAATGGCTGCTATTGGTTCTTCTTCTAGGAAATTAAAAGTGTTAAGGAGCACACATGAGTTTGGGTCTTGTTCTAGGACTTGGATGTGATGTCGAAAAGCAAGAACTAGTGTTGAGTGTGAGTATGGACCATTTGGTAAGAGAAAAGAAGGGATGTCTTTGGTTCCAATTGGTGGCAACCCAGGTACTTGTATTGAACTTGAAGGCTCGTTTTCACTACTGTTGTAAAGATCATATACACCATCATGTTGATTAAAGAAATGGTGACAGAGAGCAAGTGAAGTAGCAGACTGAATATAGAGGAAAGCAGAGGGAATTGACATGTACCGTGCAACATCAGCGGCCCAAGGGAGGATAAGGGTGTAGATTACGAAGCTGACAGGATGGCACTCCTTGGATAAGGTCTTAAGGAGTTCGGTTAAAGTTTGGGGGCCAGCACGCTTGAGTTCAGACATCATGTCTTGCAAATTGTTGTTAAGTTTGATTCCATCGTCAAATCCATCGGAGAAGGAGGCAAAGTATAAGCCATCAAGGGATGGGAATGTTTTGATCTGAGTAAGGCCATATACTGTGGTGGAAAAAGTGACCCTTGCTGCACCAGCTTGTATTAGGTGCTTGGCAAGTTGGAGCATAGGATTTAAGTGGCCTTGGAAAGGACAGCTTATCAGAAGGAAGTGTTGGTTCTCCATGACTGTGGTTTTGCTTCTGTGTGGCTGGTTTCCTTTCTTTTATCAATTATGTTTATGTACTTGTTTTTAATTGCAAGTTTGCAATGCAAACTGATCACAAATGCTAGAATTAATCTTGTTTTTAATTGCAAGTTTGCAATGCAAACTGGTCCCAAATGCTAGAATTAATGTACTGTTAATGACTTGCACATGTTATGACTGTGGTTTTGCTTCTGTGTGGCTGGTTTCCTTTCTTTTATCAATTATGTTTATGTACTTGTTTTTAATTGCAAGTTTGCAATGCAAACTGATCACAAATGCTAGAATTAATCTTGTTTTTAATTGCAAGTTTGCAATGCAAACTGGTCCCAAATGCTAGAATTAATGTACTGTTAATGACTTGCACATGTTCCTTATCATATGAATTTCTTCTGATTGGTATCCATTATGAATATCGACTTGTTGACTGTTAGCTCCACATGCATCCTGACTAATAAAGGTTAATTTTTGTCTTGTTTGCAGCTCAAATGTACTTCGACAATGATGGTTTGCTTGATATGAGCTGAAATATCAATGAACAATGTGAGCGTTGGAAGGAATCTTCCAGCCAGCCTCTAGTGCCTGAAGCTGATATCTATGTTGATGTGGTTTCTTATATATGAGGTTGAAACTAAGGCCTACCAGATCGTTGAGTGTTAGGTAAGACTAACATGCTTTATTGTTCATTACCTGAACCTGAGAACCACACAGCATGATTTTTGTACACAAACAACATGAAAGAGGTTTTCTACACTGGAAGTGGATGGTACCAAATGAAATTCAGAATGCTATACTTTTTAATGGAAGATACAGCATGAGATTGACGATGAGTTTCCTTTGTGGATGACATATGCCTGCCTTCTTTTCAAATATCCGACTCAGATAGTTAGGTGGCATACAGATTATGTTGGAACAAGACAGATTGTTTGGTATAATTCGCATTTCTATTCGAATGCATATTCCGGTGCCGAATTCTGATTCAGCTGACTAGCCCTATCCAACTTGAGCATGGTCTTAAACTCCATATGTTACTATTTTGATCATAGAGTTTCTTGTATTATGGTATTCCCCATTTTAGTACTGCAACTCTTGGATTGTGTTTGCCCCAGGACAAAACTTTCAGGTGCTGATTGCTGAACTGCCTTTTTTCAGAAAATGATTCTGACAAACTTGATTTCCCTTTTTTCCTTTCCTTTCTACATATTTGAACCTTTTTTTTTCCAGTTTTTGCAGTTATAAACTTCTTTGTGAAACAGATACAATCCCAAGCATTCATTTATAGAAGTAAATATAGCCCACATCTTCTATTGTTTCTGTTTCCTACATATTTTTTGTCAATTTTGCTGGTTTATTGCTGAGTTATAATGATATCAATCAATAGGTATAATTCATGCTTGAAGCCCCAGCAGCAGTTTTTTTTGTATATAACCTGACTAATGTTAGCATTAACTGAAAGAATTAGCATCCAAATCTACCCTGAGCTGAAGCTGATCAAGTTCTGCATTACATAGGCAGGCTACTGGTTTAGTATCCGAATTTACACATTTGACTAATTATAAACTAGGCATCAGATAACAGCAAGATTTATTTAGTGCTCTTTACTTTGTCTGATATCCATAACCTAATTAAACTGCCCGAGTTAGATCATTGAATTTTGCATAATTTGCAAATAGAACTAACTATAGGAGACTGACAAACTTAATGCAAGTCCTTAGAAAAAGGGAGCCCTGCAAGGTTTTCCTTTCCTCTTTTGCTTTGGTTTCTCAGGTTTTGTTTCTGTCATCATTTTTATGATGTTTTGAGCCTGGAGGGAAAGAAAGGGAGGAACCGAATCACTTGACTTCCTTGTAAATGCTGTAACCTGTAAGAAATCCAATTTAGTTTTGAAGTAAACAACAGACATCAGGTTCAATAAAAGAAGGAAAAGTTTACATGCTCCATATCAAAGTAGTATCAGTACCTTGCAAGAAATAGAGCAGTAGTTATAAAGTTCTGGATCAGCTAATCTTCTCTTGCATATTTCACAAACTCCACTGTCAGATAGTGGACCACAGTGAGGGAGTGGATTAAGAGATAGAACCAATCTCTTGTTGCACTTAAATGGCTGAAACTCAGGAATAATATGTTACTCATGGAAACAGAAGGCACACATTCAAGTCTCTAACTGTCCCTCAAGGGAACACCAAAACTTGAGATTTCCATTTGGAGGTCTCAAGCTCGAATCCTAAGAGGACTACCCTTATTGTGTAGGTCGAGATCCGTTACGATTCGTATGAAACCAAGAAAAATATATGTACAAGACTGAGCTTTCGGAAAGAAGCTAGAGATTTAGTTACCTGAATTTGAGAACAATCAATGTACTTCTCCAATGCAACAAGAGATACAACCTCCTTGTAGACATGTCTATAAATTTTTAGTATCTTATGATGACCATGGCAATCTGAAGAGATGCAATACTGGCAAGCAGCTAAATTGCAGTTGATGCAATATCTATTCAGTCCATTCCTGCGAATAGGGTGAATTGAACAAGAACCAAAGAATGTCTTTTTTAGGAAACCTTCAAGCCACCATGGTTTCCTGCTATTCTTTCTTTGGACAGCTACTTGTTCAGCCTGAAAAAAAAAAAATATATATATATATATATATATATATATATATATATATATATATATATATATTCAGAATAAATTACATATTTTCTATAAAAAAAATTGTTATATTATACTTTTTTTATGCATAAAAAAAAATGCTCAAACCCGAAACCTCTTAAGAAGATGGGAAGACATATGAGTGATAATTAATTATAAGTTCATTTTTATTGGCTATGTCACACTAAAGTTGGTCCCAAAAGAGTTGACTTCCTTCTTTTGGAATACATCTAATTCAATCGCAATTAAATCTAAGAACTGAAGTAGTTTTAAAAAAATTGAGGGTCAAAGTGAAAACGAATCTAAGATCTAGGCACCAATTTTCTATTGTTTTTCTTTCCCTGTTATTCAAAATTTTCTTTCTCAAGCACAGGTTGTCGCCCGCTCTAGTACTCTGGCCAGATACTTCAAGAAATGACCATCACCCAAATTGAGAGTAAATTATAAATCAGTTCCTCTAGTTTTGTAAAATAAATTAAATAGTATTTTTTATTTAAAAAATAATTAATTGATCTCTTTATCAGTCATGATCACGATAATTTAATATTATTTTATTAAAAAAATGTATTCTTTTTTCGTCAATTTTTTCATATTTTTTTTAACCTTTTTTCTAAAAAAGAATGAAAATATTAAGTTATAGATAGATTTAAAATTATAAGGAATAATTAATTAATTAATTATTAAAACTAAAGAGACTTTTTAATTCTTTTTGAGAAACTAAAGGGACTAATGTATAATTTACTCTCTAAATTGTTAAATACCCCAATTAACCATAGCTCACCCCTTTCGTGATAATTTTGAAATTTAAGGATTCCTTCATACTTCTTCTTTTGAATTTACTTCAAAAAAAAAAAAAAAAAAAAAAAAACATCAAAATCCTCAATTTTGTTTTCACAAGAATTTCTATTTGTACCATAAAATTTTCTTTTAGTCATATCCAATCATCATGAGTAAATTACAAATAATTCTCAGAAAAAACAAAATTATGTATATTATTTAACCAAGTATAAAGAAGAAAAGGGAAAGAAATACAAATGAGTTCTAATTTTCTTCCATACCTTGTGTATAGCTGTGGTGGAAGATCGACTCATCATGCTTGCTCTCTTCTTTCAATAGAAAATAAGATTTGTATAATAATTAATAAAATCTAAAGAGAAATTGCAAAACAGAAGGAAAAAAATTTTGAGAACTAAATTATGTATAAAAAACAAGGATAGAAGTTAAAAAAATATATGGGCGACATACTGTTTTTTCTTGATTTTTTTATTTTTATTGTTTTTCAACAAGGATTGAGCTTAATATATATATAACAAGCTAGGGTTAGGTTGGCCATATCGATGAAATCTAAGTGCCTTATCCAATAGATACAGAAACTGATTTCTTTTTAATTTTTGGTAACAGAGATTAACAATTTTTAATGACATTCGTCAATTTGGCATTAGCTTTTCATTTCTTTGTCCATATAAAACAAAAAATAAATTAATATATTTTATTAGCAGCTTAATTATGATAATTAATATCTTTCCTTATAAAGCCAATATGAAATCTGTTGAGGGATGCCTTTTTGAGGTGTCCATTTAATCATCAGGATTATATGCAGTGTTTATCTTATCAAAATTTGTTAATGAAAATGCTTTATGTTATTAAAAGTTTATAGTTTACGGAATCGTTCGAACACGCGCGTGTGTATAAAGTTATTCTATTTTATCATCAAATTATAGATCAGAAATTCATATTTAGAAATTTTGTTATGCATAAATTAAAATTTTTAGTGTTATTCACACAACATACGCGGTAGAGTTGACTAATTAAACCTTTAATCTCGAACTAGTTGGAATTGATTATTTAATTAAGTAGTAAACCAAATCCATTTTAATATGCAAATGTCATAACTACAAAAGAAAATGTAAACAGAACAATTAAGTGCAAGTAATGTAACATTTGTTTTCTTTGTATATAAAACATGATTAGTTTGAAGTGTATAAATTATTAATTTTTTTGTTGATAACAAGGGTAAATATATACATTTATCCTTATATAATATCCAAAATATCTCATTTGTTTTTGAAATTTTTTTAAATATTTAATCTGTCATTCCGATTAATTTTTTCGACTATATAAAAAAATAACCGAAATACTCCTGAATAAAAATGCAAAAAATAATTAAAAAATCTAATAAATACTTTAAAACATAGCATGCAAGTCATATGATTTTAAGCTTCTTCTTTTTTTTGTATTTTTGTAAAAGATATTTTGATCAAAAAATTTGTCCATGGTCGGAAGAATTGATCGAAGAATAAATTAAATATATTTTTTTAAAAAAAATAGAGATAGATAGAATACAATTGAAAATTTAAGAACAAATAAAAGACTTTAAATATTATATAAAGGCAAATAAATATATTTACTTTGATATCAACAAAAGCATAACCCCAAAGGTTTAAAGCTTAGCCATATTGAGACAAAAGAAAAGAAACTATTAGACAAATTAATTAGTAAAATGAAAGGAAAAAAAAAAAAAACCTCTCATTCACATTATTCATGCTTTGACAATATATTTCTCCAAAAGAAACAATTAAAAATAAAGGAAAACTTCCTATAATAAAGCCTAACAAAGAAATTAAATTAGTATCAAAAAGAAATCACCAAGAATTCTTCAAAGGCTTCTCCAGCAAAGCTGTGAGGTACATTTCTCTAAGCTCTGCCCCACGATCAAGCTTTTTGCCCACCACCCATTTCAGCTTAATAAATCCAAGACCCTCAATGAGTGGCTTGTAAACATCCAAAAATTGATCTTCCACACAGAAGAAATGATCAAGCCAGAATAGCCCACCAGGCCTAAGTACTCTATAGATATCAAACATCAAGAAATGAAGCAAAGTTGTAGGAATCCAGTTACTCAAAACATGCATAGAGTGTACAATATCCAAAGTGTTGTCAAAGAACGGTAGCCTCTGTGATATGCTTATGTACAAAGGCACAACACCTCTTGAAGCAATGAAGTTATTGAATGGACCATTCAAGTTCATTGAAGTTGTTACAATGGTGATGTTCCTTTCCTTCATTCTTACAGCAAATGTAGCCACACCACCACCAATGTCAAGCCCAATTCTGATTGTTCCAGGCTTCTTCGTTGCAAGAACTTCGTCGATTGTGAAGTCTAATGACCCTTCAATGATTACTCTTGAAGCCCAACGATTCTTTTCTCTTCCATGTAAATCGAAGCAGTCTTTACAATCATCAAAACCCTTTTGAGTTTTCATTCTGTTGATGAGACATGTGTAGTCCTTGCAAGTATAGGCTGTCCAAGAAACTGAAGAATTATCTGGTGTAGTCCAAAGACTGGTAGGAAGAGGGTAGGGCTCAACATAATCAGCCTGCGCCGCAGGGCGGCAACGACGGCGAGGGAGAGGTTCACACCCTTTGAGGAGGAGTTTTTGTGCAAGTAGTTCGTCATCAGGACAGGATCCATTAACTTTGTAGGACATAAAACGACTGAGCTCATCAGGAAAACGAGTGCAGGCTTGGCCTACAGGGGGATAGAAGGTGTCAGAATCAAAATTTGTGTTGAAACCAAATGGGAGAACTTGGCCTGAAGTGAAGGCAAGAAATTCTGATGGGAGGTCTAATTTTGTTTGCGGGGTGTCAGGATTTTCTGTGGCATCTGAGTCAGTAACACTGCTACTATTAATTTGTGTGAATGTGGTGGTACTGGAGGTGATGGGGCTGAGAGAGCAATTGGAGGAGGAATAGAAGGTAGAGGAGAGGAATAAAGTAAGGAGATTTGTGGACAAGAGAAGGAAGAGGAAGAAGAGATTAGTGGAGAGAGACTTAGGTTTATGCGGGGAATCCATTTTGGTTTGCTTTTGATGAAGATCACTTTGTGTTGAAGATAATAGCTAGCGATGACTGGGTGAGGTTAAGAGTAGGAAGTGGGTATGGTGTTTCAATCCATCTGCATATGCTTAGCTCATGAAAAAATTGAGTAGATAGACCTAACAAATAAACAATATTCAGTTCCTATGAGACAAATTACATTGACAAATAATCAAATAAGTAATAACATTTTTTTATTTTTATTTTTTTGATATTTACATGTAATAGGTATCTTTAAATCAGTTTTTACATCAACCAAAACTAGTTTCACCGATTGACCATTAAGCTCCTTTTTAGACCAAATGAATCCAAACCTAATACTACTAAAAAATAATTATAAGTAATTATTCATGAATAATAAAAATTGAATTTTGGTTTTTGATATTAAAGCAAAACATACCGTTAAATCACATACCTTGGTGGCATAACAAGGATGGGTTTAACCATGGGAAATTCATTTATGTAACCTATTTGAATATATTTTTCTCTTACCAACAAATAATGCTAAACTAGTGTAGCAGGTGCTATTAGTGAGAAGTCAAAAGTATGTGATTCTCTATGAAGTCAAACTTCATAAAATAGTATACTATATAGTTGTTAGAAAACCAAGATTTGTTGGATCCTACATTGAAGTCATTCTACTTGTGAGTTCCAAGCACTATCACCACTAATTAAGTCATTTTATTTTGGTATTCTAATTGTGTTTTGCATCTTATGTTCATTATTGTTATGATTTTAACATTTGTGAATCTCACATAATTGATTTTAAGTGCAATTTCTTGTCAACATAAATTATAATGACAAATGAATTCAAAATTTTTAGCAAAATGTTTATGTCGAAGATCGTATTTATATCGAGTTAAAATTTAAGATATTTCTATAAACGTAACTAATCGTAAAGATGTGTGTTTTTTTTTTTTTTTAAGAAAAAAAAGTCAATAGTAAGACTCAAATTTGATAATTCCACACTAAATAAGTCTTTTTTTTCATTATTTAAAACAATCTCTCAATCATGTAAACTAAAAATATTTTTGTATAAAAAAAACATTAATTTCTGATGTTCAAGTTAGATCCAAGTAAGCAGGGAAATTTGAGACCATGGCATGGAGAGATATAAAACTAATGAAGTCATTCTACTTTGGTATTCTAATTATGTTTTGCATCTGACATTTGTTGTTATTATAATTTTAACATTTATGAATCTATGATTGATTTTAAGTGAAATTTCTTATCAATGGAAATTATAAAAACAAATGAATCTAAAAATTTTCGTAAAATATTTATATTGAGGATCCGCATGGTACAAGGACGGGCATTGTTTGGAGAAGTAATTTAGCTTTGCTATATATATATATATATATATATATATATATATATATATATATATATATAGGTGTATGTGTATGTGTATGTAAATATATTCATATGTTTTTAGGTTTTTATTATTTGCATCTTATTTGTTTCTGAAAGTATTTAAAATGTTTAATCTTTTTTTCATCAATTTTTTTTTACCAAATAATTTTCTTTAACAAAAATGTCCCCGATTGAAATAAAAAAAAAAGTAATTTTATTATTATTTTTTTTTTACATTTTAATAAAAGGCATTTCGGTAAAAAAAAAAAAAATACAATGACAGAAAATTTGATCAAAACAACATATTGAACATTTTAGAAACTTTCAAAACTTATGAGATGTAATGAGAAATTTAAAAATATATTAGAGATTTTGAATATTATATAAAAATAGATGAATATATCTTTAATTCTTTCGATTTTTTGATCACTTGCTTTTTTTCTGTAGGAATTAGGTTGCTAAATTTGGAGAACCTCATATTGAAATTTCTAGAAACAACTAATCCTTGCTTAAATTTGTCAAAAATTGGTAGCACAAAAGCCTCTAATGTCATTAAACCAAGGATTCAGCACCAGTCCACCTGCAAATTACATAGTTCTTCTACTACTTCTCAGATGTTTTTATCTCAGCCGGCAAGAAATCTCAACTATGTTATCACTCGAAGGTGAAATTAGGGGCAAACCTTTTATTAGGGGGTGTGAAGTTAATTACAAAATCAGTCCTTGTAGTTTAACAAAAGGAATTAATCAATCCCTGTAGTTTGCAAGAGCCTAAATAGACATAGGGAAGCATTTGTCTGTGGGCTTAATATGGATTGTGTTTGTAGGCCCAGACTATCAGCAAGCAAGGTCCTTTGGGCCCAGTGATTTATCTCACTATTTCAGATTTTCTTTGGGCAAGCACAATAGGCTTTTCTCGTGGCTCGGGACTAAGTTTCTCAAATTCCAAAATCTATGGGCTTCACCATCCTTTAACGGTCTCGGTTCTTGCCCTTTTTTTTATTTTTTTACTTACACGCCAGTGATAATCCCCAAAGTGGGGTGTTTAATAGAGTAAATTATAAATTAGTCCTCTCATTTTGAGAAACAAATTAATTAACTTCTCTGATTTTAAAATTAATTATTTATTTTTTTAACTCGCATTGATCGAGACTAATTTAATGTTTTTTATTTTATATAATATCTTTTTGTTTTCATCAATCTTTCTATATTTTTACTTATATTTTATTTATTTTCTATTTCTTAAGATAAAAAATTAAAATAAATTAAAAATAACAAAAAGATTAAACAATTAATTCATAAAACTAGAAGAGTTCATTAATTTTTTTCTCAAAAAGAGAGGAACTAATTTATAATTTATTCTTATTTGATATGTTAACCAGGACAAATGAAATGAAATTAGACTGACTAGATAGGATTGTATTGGCCAATAAGTGAGAATTGACAAGTACATATTTTTGTCATGAAGTTTTTGCAGTAATTCATTTTGATATCTAAATTTTTTTTAATAATTTATTGGAATATTTATATTTTATTTTCATAGCATTTCAGTCTATGAGTAAAAAAAATTAGTCCTCTAATGTTTAAGCACATGTAATTTAGTTTCCGAATCAGAATTTTTTGCAATTAAACCCCTGTACGTAAAATTTCATTTTAATCAAATATAGATAAACTTGGTCAAACTTTAGTCAACCAAATTAAAAAATAATTAATGATCAATAGATAACGAATAATATAAAAATTTGACAAATACTGATTTTGTACAAGGTATGAGACAAGTTTGTTCCATTGTATCGTTGGCATTGTACTAAAATTTAATATGGGCTTGAACATTAAGACCATTTTGCAAATGGTTACCTAAATAAGTTATTTTTTCGTGTGACATTGTTGACAAGTTCATTCGATTTTGTAATGTTATTGCCACGCTACAGAAGTATGACTTTTTTTTTTTTTTGGATATTATTCTCACACTAGATATATATACATGATAGTTTTTGGATGACTATATGGATTTAATGCTAATGTTACAAAATAATAATAATAATAATAATAATAATAATAATTGAAGCTACAATAAGAATTCTATAGTACACTACCAAAACAAAAAACAATCACTTGGGTGGCAAATTTCTATGAATAAAATAAGATATGATGAAATATGAGAGGAAACTAATTGGTGATGATCAATGTGTCATATCAAATTAATAGAGGATTAGGTTAATTAAAATATTTAGCCAAAAAAAAAATATAGAATTATACCATAACCAACTGTTGCATTAAAAATTAAACTGATAATAAGAGGGTACTAGAGATGAAAGAATCGAAGCAACGTTCTAATATCATGACAGGTAAATGATTCGTATAGTCCTACATAATTGTTAATATGCTATAAATTAATATGCTAATTCAATGCCTAAAAATTTCTAATTCTAAACATATCAATATATTTTATTTTTGTTACAAAAGAATTGCTTTTTTCGATCACTGATCACGAAGGCAAAAGATTTTTTTGGAAGGCTTTAGTATTTTTCCATAAAATAAAACAAAAAATTGAATAGCTTAAATTGATAGTCTTCAGAATCTCAATGATTTAGAGATAATTTTTATCATTAAATCAATTTGAAATTATTTTCTTGTAATAGATACCACATAAAAAAAAAAGTTGAAAATTAATGTATATGTACAACACGAGATGGTATCTATTTTTCAATTAGTTTTTTTAAAAAAAAAAAGAAAAAAGAAAAAAGGAAAATGCATCTAAAGTTTACAACCATGTTAAAAGACTAAAAATGCGTTGATAATAATTTTATAAAACCATATTATGAGAAAGAAAATGAAAAAAATAAATAAAATCAAGAGTTCTCTAAACAAAGTGGGAAAATATTTTGAATAATAAAGATAAAAAATTTTCCAAATATATATATATTTTAAAAAAAGCTGGTGCTGGGCCCTCAATTCCTAGGCCATTCATCCTGGGCCCGAGTACCTGGGTCGTGCCTCAACCAGCTAGTGGGCCTGCGTTTTTTGGCGGTCTAAGTTAAACAACATGTTTCCTTATCCACTTGAAAATTTCATTGGATATTTTTAGTTGTTATTTATTAGATATTTGTAATGGATATTTTTAAATATGAGCTATAGCCCTTCTTGTTCGGTTTTTCGAAAGCATAGGTTTTTATTGTTGGATGATTTTGAAAAGGGTAATTAGGTTAAGGATGTTTTGGGTTTTAGACAAAATTAATTCATTCTTCTTATTTTTTGTTAAAATCAAAATTATCAGCTCAAACTGATCATTGCTGGAATTTGACTAGTAATAAAATTTAATTATTGTCCATTAATTTTAACGAAAATCGTATCAAAATTGGATGAAATGGCTAATTCTATATCAAATCTTAAAATTCAATTGTCCATTTTGAATTATATGGTTAAATATAATTAAAGCATTGAATTACACAATTCCGCTAAAAAAGAAAAAAAAAAAAAACGTAAATTCGACTCATGTGCTAGAAAACATAAAATTTTTTGGATCTTTTTTCCAATTAAAATGTACAAGACGAGAAACTAGTCAAAGATGCGCATTATTAACCAATTCCTAACTTTGTGAGCCCCCACCATGGCCATACACGAGATACGTCCACACATTCCACTCCAAACCAAACCCACCATTTTTTTCCTCATTTCCTTTGTGTTGCTTTGTTGACGTAAGCTTGTCGGGTGAACCTGCGAAAGAACGAGCCATCATCTAGCTCATAAGAAAAAATTAAAAATTTTTAAATAAATTAATTTATATAGATATTTAGATAACAAATTAATTATATATAAAAAAATATAATATCACTGTCATCTCATTTTAGTTAAAATAGACTGATTAAATACATATAAAATATATGAATAACAAATCGATTACATATGACGAAAATATAATATCACTGTCATCTTATTCTATTTCAAATAAATTGAATTACATACATTTGAAAAAGTTTCAAGTCCAAATTAAACTCATTCATTTCTTTTCTCGTTTCATGTATAAACATGTGAATAACAAATCGATTACGTATGAAGAAAATATAATATCATTATCATCATATTTTATTTCAAATAAACTCGATTACATGCATTTGAAAAAGTTTCAAGTCGAAACTAAACCAAACCATTTCTTTCCTCGTTTCATTTTCATTTCCTTTGGGTTGCTTAAACATGCTTTTTACCTTTACCACCTCTGAAGTTGTCTGATTTTACTATTATGCCAATCTTGCAAGTCTGTTCCACCAGAAACCAGGATGGACAGCACAGAAAGTTGTGGGTGCCAACCAATTTTCTTCTTAAATAAATTATTATTCCAACTTCTAACCTTACTTTCAGATCTTCACCATTAAAAAATATTTTGGCCCCTAATGTTTTTACTTTATTCTATTTTGATTTCTCATTTTTTCAAAAGATATTTTTAGTCCCTCATGTTTTCAAAAGATATTATTAACCCCTTGAGTTTTTTTATTTTATAATTAACATATATTTACATTTGATTATATTATTTTTATTATTTAAAATTAATCTCTTGAATTTGTCATTTTTTAGAAATTTTCATCAATTTTTTTGTACTTTTTTTTAATAAATATGATTTTTTCTCTACATATGAATTTTTGAATATGGTTTTTAATAATTAAATAATAGAATTCACATGTTTTATATCTTTATTTTTAATATAATCAAATTTTATCATAATAAAATTTTTAGTTGGTTTTATTGCACTCTGTTAAACAACTTAAGATTTTTAATAAATATTTTTCAATTTATATTACACACTCTAACCCATTGCATATAGTAATGATATATTAAAAAAAATTAAAATTATTGATTTTATTGAAAGCTAAATATTTATCTATATATAACACCAATCAAAATTCGTTATATGTAATTGCGGCAAGGGCATTTACAACAATAATTTCTACTTCAATATATATATATATATATAGTAATGATATATTAAAAAAATTAAAATTATTGATTTTATTGAAAGCTAACTATTTATCTATATATAACACCAATCAAAATTTGTTATATGTAATTTCAACAAGGGCATTTACAACAATAATTTCTACTTCAATATATATATATATATATATATAAAAGAAAAATCTTAAAAATATAATAGAATTATATAGGTAGTTTTAATGTTATCATCAAATAATTTTTTATATTAATTTTATTCTCAAAATTTCAGAAATTCTTAACTAAAGATTTTTATTTATTTTTAAATTTTTTATTCATATTTCCATAAGAAATTGTTATTTTGTAAAAAAAAATAAAAATTTAAGTGATTCTAACAGAAGTTTTCGATTGAGAAGTGAAAATATTTAAATGGTAAAATTAATATAAAAAATAGTTTGGATACAAAATCGGTGACATCCCAATAATTTAATGATATATTTGACATTTGTATAAAATATACGAGGAATTAAGATCGGTACCGTAAGCCCAACTCCAGCCAGCCTGCCCGCCAGCCAAGTATGACTAAACAGGAAAAACACCTTTCACATTCTAGACAGCTAAAGTCTTTAGAACTTCACCGGTAAGGAAATATTAGTTGGACTCACGTATTGACTACTATGATATTTGATCATGATTTTTTAAAAAATACTTTCTCGTATTTGATTTTCATAAAATTGAGGCAGTCCTACTTGCCCATCTTGAAATTCACATATGATTCGATAAAAAAAATAAATAAATTTAATATTGATTGATATGAAATTATTTTAAAAATTTCGATAAATACTAAAAATAAAAAAAAATTTAGGTTGAAACGATAACAATAAAATTGAAACGGGTTTATTTATGCATCTTGAAATTTACAAATAATTCAATAGAGAAATATAGATTTAATTTCAATTGATACGAAAATTGATTCGAAAATTTTGATAATAAAATAAAAAATTTAGGTTGAAATTGTAAATATGTGTATTGATAAATCTCATAAATATTGTAATGTTGTTTTGAGTATGCACAATTGAATGAATTCACAATCTTCTCTGTATCTGTATAAATTTTCTTTCCTAAACTAATTGAGAAACATAAAATTAGTATGATCTTTTGAGATACTTGAAATCTGCTGAAGAATCAAAACAATCAAACTTAACTCTACAAAGATTCAACAATTTTAGTATCTCTTTAAGCTTCTCCTTTGTGCTTGCATCACAACCCACCTGCAATAAGACCAATAATTTCTGAAAAGCATCGACTTGAAGCGCTTCAAGTACAACACCTCCTTCACCATCATCACCATCCTCTGATCTCTCTCCATAATTCTTGCAAAGCTTCCAAAGAATGGAAACTGACAATTCTGATGCGAAATCTGATACTCTCAAGATTTTCTTGATCAAAACAGCCACAATTAGAGCATTCTCATATGCCTTTTCTCTCCCTTCTTTGCAATCACAAATATGGTCCAAAACACCTAGTGCCTTCTCACATATGCTTTTATCTCCATCCACAAGAGTCTCTATGATCAGTGAGACCAAACCCATTTCCACGAATGTTGATGTCATCTTCTCATTGAGACTTGATGGCGAAGTCATGTAGAAAATCGCCATCAATGAAGCTTTGGTGGCTGTAGGGCAAATAGGCTCCTTGATCAACTCAACCAATGCTTCAAACACTCCTTCAATCTCCATTAAAGCATTTGCATGCTTTTGATCTGAAGCAAGAAGATTTGTAAGCACCGAAGCTGCATTTTGCCTGGCTGAAAGATCTCCACTCTTCAAGAACCATACCAAACAATTCAAAGACTTGACCGATCCAAGCCTACTTTGGCCTTCTTCACCAAGTGGGATCATCCATACCAAAACCGATAAAATCTCTCCCAACAAATGCTCATCTTTCTCCATTGAAACACTTGCAAACGACTCGAAACAAGCCGATAAGGCACAACCTGCCCCACACTCTACAATGCATCTCTTGTTCCTCTCACTCTCTTTAACCCAATTCTTGATCTTCCTAACCAGTTCTTGACACTTCTTTTGCTCACCTCGTTGAGTAGCAACGACTATCCTCTTACAAATCTCCAAAACCTCGTACGGTGACACCGGAACACGAGGCGTAGGAATCCTTTCGACCCCATAAGACCGATTCTCGACACCCCAATCTTGAATCATCTTGCGTAGGGAATGGTTTGGAATCTGATCGAAGCTTGCTAACGCCTGGTTTGTAACCGGACAAGTTAGGTTGCCCTTTTCGATCCATTTTTCGATACTTTCTCTGTCGTAAGTGATTCCTGTCGATAATGTCACCGGATCTTTCATCAAGTCGAGAGAAATCGGACAGCAGAAATGCCTCGGAATCATGATTTCCATCTCCGAATTTATTTCTTGGATTGGAATCTTGTCTTTCTTGGACTTTCTTCTTGATCTCCATGAAAGAATCATTGTATATTCTATGTTATGCCAAGTAAGTTATGTTTTGAATTTTGGTTTTTGGGCTAAAGAATTTGATAGAACGGTTGTGAATGAGGTGATGTATTTATATGTTGGTATGGTATTTCTTTTCGGTGGTCAAAGCAAGGTAGGAGTTGGATAGAAAGGACACGGAAAACAAATCAAAAAAGTGTGGAAGGTTTGCCAAATTGGAAACTTGGAATGTTGACGGTTGAATATGAGAAAACATGAGTAAATTATAAATTAGTCTCTTTAGTTTTAAAAAAGTAATTAATTAGTCCCTTTTTTAAAAACAAATGTTATTTAATCTTTTAACTAGTATTGATCATGTTTAATTTAATATTTTTAATTTAAAAATGACTTTTTTGTAGGCAAATTTTCATATTTTTTCTATTTTTTTAAAATAAAAAATTATAATAAATTAAAAAGAGAACAAAAAGACTAAGTTATAAGTAGATTTAAAACTATAGAGACTAAATAATTAACTTTTAAAATTAAAATGACTAATTAATTTATTCTTGAAACAAGAGGAATTAATTTATAATCTACTCGGGAACAGGGTGTAAACGCATGAAAAAAAAAAAAAAACGAAAAATTAGGAGTAAGGTTAGTCGGCCAATCTGACTGGGTCTGAGTCAAAGTAGTAGGGGGACCACTTGGTTTCTAAACCATATGATAAGGGTTCAACGCTTGAAGCCCTTACTAGATCCAACTGGGAACAGTCTGCATAACAGATAAGTTTAACTTAGTCCCTGTATGTTAATAGAATTAATTATTAATTAGTTAGTCCTTGTGATTTCAAAAAGTATTGTATAATCCTAAGACCGAAGGAAGAGATAATTTTAGTTTAGTCCTTGTAGTTTAATATAATTAATTGGTTCGTCCTTGTGATTTTCTCAGAAGGTATAGTATAATTCTAAGACCAATGGAAGAGATAAGTTTAACTTAGTCCCTATAGTTTAATATAAGTAATTTGTGCATCCTTGTGATTTCAAAAGGTATAGTATAATCCTAAGACCAAAGGAAGAGATATGTTTAATTTAGTCTTTGTAGTTTAATATAATTAATTGGTTCATCCTTGTGATTTTTTCAGGAGGTATAGTATATTCCTAAGACCAAAGGAAGAGATAAGTTTAACTTAGTTCTTGTAGTTTAATAGGAAGAGATAAGTTTAACTTTGTCCTTATAGTTTAATAGTATTTGTTCATCCCTGTGATTTCAAAACGTATAGTATAATCATAAGACCAAAGGAAGAGATATGTTTAATTTAGTCCTTGTAGTTTAATACAATTAATTGGTTCATCTTTGTGATTTTTTCAAAAGGTATAGTATAATCCTAAGACCAAAGGAAGATATAAGTTTAGTTTAGTCCTTGCAGTTTGATAGAATTAATTGTTAGTCCTTGTGATTTCAAAAGGTATAGTATATACTTAATTTGTGTATTTATTTCAATCTACTTATAATTTAGTGTCAAATTCATGTCCTTTTTCTTTTTTTTTTTTTTTTTAGTAATGGAAGCAACAATCGAGAAGTGGATAAGAAGGTAGAATTTGGCGAGTAAAAAAGGTGCTTTTTGAGGGGAAAAAAACTAGTAAATTGAAGATAGTTGAAGTTAGGTAGAGGACTATTTAATTATTTTTTATTCTATAGAGATTAAGTTGTAATTAACTAAGAATGGAATGGTTTATGGGTGTGCCAATTTTAGGTTTGCCAGTCACCAGTTTTTAGCCCAAAATGAGAGTGTAATTGGGCTTATTGGTTCAAAGCATTTTCGTTTAGCTCAGTGGGTCTGGAAAAACTTAGACATGTTTCCCTTGTAATTCGAAAAAAAAATAAAAATGGTATGATAAATTATGCAACAGAATATATATATATATATATATATATATATTTTCGTTCAACTAAATCTCGAGTAAAATATAAATTAGTTTTTTTAGTTTCGAGAAATGAATTAATTAGTCCCACTTGCTTTAAAAACTAATTGTTTAGTATTTTATGTTCTTTTCTTATTTCTTATTTTTTTATTGTTTTTAAAATAGAAAAAATAAATAAATAGATATTATGAAAATATTGATGACAAAAAAAAATAATATTTTCGTAATATATATTTAAACGTTTCAGTAACTCCTTATTGAAAGAACGAATTATTCCATAAATTAAATTTTTTTTTTTTTTTACTGTAAAATACTTTTGTTATATAACGTAAAACCTTTCCTTGCCTTATAGGCTTATGATTTTATGAGATGTCAAAATTCTCCAATATTTTAATTTTTCTTAACCGGAAGTTAAGATCTCTCCTTATATGTTTGGTAGAATCTTGTAAACAAAATATTGTGGAGGAGAACAAAAAACATTTCCCTTTTTATATTAAGTATATGTTGCTTTTCAATGCTAATCTAGCAAAAAGGTTTCAATTTTGTTGCACTACATAATGTTTTTTTTTCAATGACAAAAATATTAGCAAGTAAATTATGAATTATTCTCCCTATTTGCAAGAAACAAATTAATTAGTTATTTTCATTTCAAAATTATTATTTAATATTTTAATCACTATTGATTATGTTTAATTTAATCTTATTTTAATTTCAAAATTTTTTTTATTTTCTCATCAATCTTTCTATATTTTTTCTTTCTCTATTTCTTAAACCAAAAAATCAAAATAAATTATAAGTAAATTATGAATTATACTCTCTACTTGCAAGAAACAAATTAATTATTTCTTTTCATTTTAAAATTATTATTTAATATTTTAATCATCATTGATTATGCTTAATTTAATGTTATTTTAATTTCAAAAAATCTCTTATTTTCTCATCAATCTTTCTATATTTTTTCTTTCTCTATTTCTTAAACCAAAAAATCAAAATAAATTATAAGTAAATTTTAAAACATAAAAATTAAATGATTAATATTTTAAATGAGAAGTATTAATTAATTCGTTTATTAAAACGAGAAGGACTAATCTATAATTTACTCAAATATTAGCATGTCTTGATAAGTCCACCCTCTAGAGATTTGGTACATAAAGAATGAAAATAACCCAATAGAGAAGTGACATATACCTTGGGAAATTGAGAATTGAACGTGAGCCCCATGTTAGGGCAGACAACTACAGCACAACACTTGCATATGATTGCCCTGTAAACAAAGGCACAAGTCCCCACCCATTACCATCTTTCTATATTTTCATGGATGGGGTAACCTTTTGTGATTTTTATGCATGTTACTTGTTTCCCTTGTCCAATTGCATATTTTTTGTCCATTTTGTTTTTTTAGAACAGCAAAAAAACAAAACGAATTAGATTGCATTGATTTAAAAGACATTTAGTGATGGACCTAACGCTAAACATATTCTAGCATTAACTTTCTTTAAAACGTAGTAGATTTAGTTTCGGTTCATAAAAATTAATTCAAATATTTATATATATATATTAAAACTAAATTTACTATATTTTTTTAAAAAAACTAATGTCAAAATATGTTTAGTTTTAATTCGATCATGCGTAACATAAGATTATTTTTAGATCATATATCAATATAAATAAAGTTTTACCATATTTTGTTCGGTGTTATGTTCCAAATATTACACTAACGGAACATTTTATATTCAGTGTGCAAGCTGTGATATGGAGATTGAAAATAAAGGTAGCAAGTTGCCGTTTCTATGGAGTAAGCTTTTACGCAACATTTTTCTTGGAAAAGGCATCATCTTTATCCTGCCATCTAACTTCACGAAACTTTTCTTTCTTTTTCTTGCCTTATTTATGACAACGAGAGCATTCTCATTGCAGTCTCAATACTTCATGATTGCGTTTTCCAAAAATAAAAGCCATCATCATCCCAAACTGTAATTGATTGGAAATGCCGAAATGGGGTATGGAACTTTATGAGAAAGGAGATTCTGTTATCCATGAAATTAAAGAAAGATAAAGAAAAGACCTAAGAGTGTGGCTAGGATGGTGATGACAAATGCAAAAACAACGCAACTCCAGCTAATCTAAAGACACCGAGACATTGCATGTGATAATTGTCTGGATGTCATCAGTTGCTTGCTTCTTCGATTCTGTAAAAGATGACAGTATTCGTTTTTCTTCTTGTGAATCTGATCTTAGGGAAGGAATTGGACACCATAATTGCTAGGAAAGCAAAATGGACTAGTGGCTTTGCAACACATCAACAAGCAGGAAATTTTTTGAAGAGATCTGAAACCGAAGACAAATGTTTCTAGAAAACCTTATCTCATTTCATTTTCAAAACCTCTAATACAAGTGAAGAAACCATCCAAACTACATTTCCAAGAAAAATATGAGACAATGGAATGAGACTAAAACACGAAAGAATTAGGAGTCAGACAAGTTCACAAAGAAGACAGCAAAGAGACTGCAAATAGAATGAACATAGAAAACCGCCACCACCACCACCATTTACAACTACCCTACTCATCTTCCATCAGCTGATTTTAATGGCTCAGCAAACCCATATGGGACGGCAGGTATGCTGGTCTGAGTATTGTCTAAGCTGGGAAGGAGTGAAGAAGAAGAAGACTCCATGTTGCTTCTACCTTCATAAGCTTGCCACTTCTTAAGTGCCTGCGGCAACGACATTTCAAGATCAATGCCATATATGTCTTCAGAACTTTGGTCGGTTGGTTTCCAGAGCTCCACCAGAGAAGAGAGGACATTCACGGCATGACTCATGTCCGGCCTTTGATATGGTTCCCTTGCACAGCAGTGACCTGCCAACTCTGCAACAGTGGTGATGCTGGCAAGCGTTTCCTCATTGAGGTCAATTGTGGGATCGATAGCCTTCTGGAATGTGTCCTTATTCAGGTGCATTCTGCGGAACCATGTTACTAGATGCATGCTCTCTTCAGGTTGGGTCTCATCAAGAGCTTTTCTACCAGTTATAAGTTCCATCAATATCACTCCAAAACTGAAAACATCAACTTTAGTTGTCACTCGACCGGTAACTGCAAACACATCATCCAAGAC